TAACATTCTGTTAAATAAGATAATGTATAGTAGGTGGATATGGAGGATTTTTTTAGTTCTAGGATCTCCATTTAAATATATTTTAAAGATATATTGATAAAATGACAGTAGTTGAGGAAAAAAAAATGAGAAATTAAATTTGAATATGTTCTCTGTTTTATAATAAGTGTTATTTAGAGAAAATGTATCTGCAATATATATGTATTAAACTAAAAATACATCCAGTTATAATATAGATACATTTTATCCAAATGACACTTATTATAAAATGAATAGAGTATGTAATAATAGATATTCATGAAATTGAGCAAAAACTTGTGTGATGTGGACACGTGACCTAACATTACTGGGCAGTGGGCTTTTAACGTTGGGCTGGTCAAGGAAACTAGATGTGGACTTTCATAACTACAAACGAAACTTGTTGTAATATCTTCATCATTTGTGTGTAGCTTCTGACTAGTACAAGTTTAAGGAAATCCATAAACATGAGAAAATGGTAAAAAAAAGGAAGAAGCTAACATAAAAGAAACTCGATCAGTACGTGGAGTTTTATTTATTATGGACTTACAAAACGATTAAGAAACAAGCTTTTCCTCTTTGAACAAGAAGAGAATTAAGTAGGAAGAGGAGAGACTGAGGAAGTAGAGAAAGACTTCATGTCCCTGTCTATATTATGGACCAAGACCCAAGCGGCAAGCGCATACAAAACTGTATTATGTAAAAAAACCACTGGCATATTGTTTAGGAAGAATATACAAATGCCAAAAAGACAACGAAACCAACCGGAGAAAAGAGTGACGTAAGCATGTCTCATCTCCATCCTAAACTTATTCGATAGCTGAATCAGCCCTACCCCTCCGGTGAACAACGATACGGTGAATAACGTCATGTACAACACAGACGCCATTTTATCCACCATATGTAAATATACTAGCGGCCACAGCTCTATCGCTAACATGGCAACTTCCGCAAAGACGAGCTGAGGAATCCTCTCCTTCACTGTAGTAAAGTCCTTGTAGCTATCTGCGGAGGGAGGATCCGTGAAGAAGAGATACCTGAGTAGCGTCACTGCGTAGAATGTTGTGGCACTCACCGCACCATCCCTTAGGAACCGAGCCGATGACGACGATGACTTTCCTCCGGCTGGCCAGAGAAATTTGAGTGATATGGTGAGGCCAAAGAGAGAGAGCAGAGTCATTACATCCATATTCCTCTGCATACCATCACATCTCTTTTACTCATCACACTCTTTCCATCTTTTTTCTTCTTTTTTTTTCCTCTCCTTCATCGATCGTGTGTGTTTATAATACATATAGTAGTAGGCCGTAAGGTAGGGACTGAATTAGGGCTCTTGAGGGGCTTTTTAGATTATAGGAGATCTTCACAATCAAACAAAATATAAATAAAACTAAATCGATAGAATCAGTTTGTTAATACTAACATATTGGATTTATTTGGATATATCCAAAGCTTAAAAAGATTTTCCTGAATTTATTAAAGATCTAAAGGGATTTAAACAAATTTTGTTTCAAATTATCTCAAATACCATCATATTCCGCTCTCTAGGCATATATAAGACTCTTAACGTTCGCCTAAGTGAATCCCCAAAGGAAACTGGATGTTATGCAGGACGATGTCGTTTAGCACAGAAGCCAATTTCGGGATTGTTTCTCTCTTCAAGAATCCAATGATAGTGTTGTTTAAACTGTAGACAGTTAATTTAGTTGAACAAAGAAACCATCTTATCAGGGCCGTGCCTACCTTATAACTAAATAGGCCTTCGCCTACGGCCCCATTTGGGAAAAAAAAATTTAATAGGCTTTAGTTATTGTTAGCCTAAATAGATATAGTCAAAAGCCTAAGTAAACATTACATTTATCTTTAAGAAAAAATAATTATAGGAAAATAATTAATAAAAAATAGAAAAAAGGTAAGACACTAAAACCAATTAACGAGATTAAAAAGTTAGGGTTCGTCATTTTTTTTCTTTTGCCGTCATCTCTATACTTTAATCAGGTGAGTTCATCAATCACCAAACATCATCAATTCATCGTTAAGAGTAATTTTACTTCTTTGTTCTTATTTAGTTCTTAATCTAACATCCGTATTACATTCTAATTTTATAGATGCCACCAATCAACACAAGAAGCCAACCATCAGGAGGAGAGAAGCAAAAAAGAAAAAAAAAAGAAGAAAAGTCATCAAAATCTCAAACTAATGGAATATACAGGTATTTCAAAAAACCTGAAATTCTGGTTGAACCTGTGAACAGCAATGATGACCGATATACTACTGAGAATAATGGAGTGGATGAAAATATGACTGAATGTCGTAGAGAAGAAGCAATTCATGAGCCAGAGAATGTTGATGCAGTGGATGAAGATCTGAATGAGAAAGATGATGGGAATGAGAATAAACGTGAAGAAAGTGATGATCGTATAGAGCATTGTGGAGTTTCTGATATGTATAATCCTGGAACTTGGAATAACATAGAAAAAGGATGGAATGAATGGAGAGATTTTATGGTTGTACAAGGTCCAGCACAAAGACTACCAGTTGATTATAGTTTTCCCAAAGATAGTGGTAAAAGACATTTCTCGCATGTCTATTATTCAAGACAAATGAGTGACGGACAAAAACAAGATCGTCGTTGGCTAGTATATTCAAAAGCGGTGAACAAGATCTTTTGTTTTGGATGTAAATTGTTCAACCAGCGTGACAAAAGTCAATTGGCATCCACAGGTTTCAGTGATTGGAAAAACATTTTGAAAAGGCTGAAAGAGCATGAATCTAATCGTGATCATATTGTGTGCATGAAGAAGTGGGTGGAGTTAGAACGCAGATTGCAGAAAAACCAGACTATTGATAGGTATGCTCAGGATGAAATTAATAAGGAGAGAGATCACTGGAGGCAAGCGTTGCTTAGAATAATTTATGTGGTAAAAACTCTTGCTAAACAAAATCTAGCATTTCGTGGAAGCAATGAGAATATTGGTGAAGAAGGTTGTGGGAATTTCTTAAGTTTTATCGAGATGATTGCTGATTTTGATCCGGTGATGATAGAGCATCTTAGAAGATATAAAGAAGGTGAATCTCGTTCTCATTATCTTAGCAACAAAATTCAAAACGAGTTGATAGCTTTGTTGGCTAATGAGATAAAAGCGATGATTCTTAAGAAAGTTGAAGGTGCAAAGTTCTTCTCTGTCATTCTTGATTGCACTCCAGATATCAGTCATCATGAACAAATGACTGTCGTCATTAGGTGTGTAGATGTTTCAACAACTCCAACTAAGATTGAAGAGTTGTTTTTAACATTCTTGAAAGTTAATGATACTTCTGGAGAAGGACTTTTCAACGAGCTTCAAGATGTGTTGGCTGCTTTTAATTTGAAAATTGATGACGTGAGGGGGCAAGGTTATGATAATGGTTCTAATATGAAGGGAAAGCATAAAGGAGTGCAGAACAGATTTCTTGAAATGAATCCAAGGGCGTTTTATACACCTTGTAGTTGCCATAGTCTTAACCTTGCTCTTTGTGATATGGCAACCATTTCTTCAAAGGCAATCTCGTTTTTTGGGATTATTCAGCGTATTTATTGCTTCTTCTCAGCTTCAAATAAACGGTGGAAAATATTTGAAGATCATGTGGGTGGATTGACACTCAAGCCTTTGTCACACACTCGTTGGGAGAGTCATACGGAAAGTGTTAAAGCAATAAGATTTCAAGCTCCAAAAATCATGGATGCTTTAATCTACATTGCTGAAAACAGTGATGATCCGAAGGAACAGAGCGAAGCTGAATGTCTTGCAACAAGTGAAACACATGGAATTGGAAGTTTTCAGTTTTTGGTTTCCATGGTTATCTGGTATGATCTTCTATCCGTGGTTAATATTGTTAGTAAGAGTTTGCAGTCTAAAGACATGGATATTGATTTAGCTATTGCTCAGTTGAAAGGGTTGGTTTCTTATTTCCAGAAGTATAGAGATTCAGGCTTTGCGAAAGCAAAATCAGAAGCTAAAACAATAGCAGAATCTATGGAAATTGAAGCTGTATTCCCCAAGAAAGCAAAACGGGTCATTAAAAGAAAACGACATTATGGTGAAGAATCACAAAACGATGAAGGAAGTGTGGTATTGTCACCAGAGGAGAGCTTTAGAGTTGAATACTTCATCCAAATCATGGATCAAGCTTTATACTCGCTTGAGACACGATTTGAGCAATTTGAGAAGTATGAGCAAATATTTGGTTTTCTGTTCGATTTGAGGAAGCTGCAGTCAGCGAGTGATGATAGTTTGATGGCATCTTGTGCTAACCTTGAAAAATCTTTAATCCATGGAGAGCATTCAGATATTATCGGTAATGATCTCTTTTCTGAATTAAAGATTTTAAGAGAAGCTTTACCCAAAGAAGTAAAGAAGCTTATTGGTGTGTTAGATTTTTTGAAGAGTGGCAAGGATTTTTATTCTAACTCATGGATCGCTTATCGAGTATTGTTAACGATTCCAGCCTCTGTTGCATCTGCTGAAAGGAGTTTTTCAAAGTTAAAGTTGATAAAATCATATCTTCGCTCGAGTATGTCACAAGAAAGATTAAGTGATTTGGCAATTTTATCAATTGAAAGAGAGCTAGTTAGAGAAGTAGATTTTGAAAGGTTAGTTAATGATTTTGTGGGAAAAAAAGGAAGAAAAATCACGTTTTGAATTATTATTGTGTTTAAGTTTTTTTTTATTATTATACAACAATATTTATTTTGCTAGAATTTTTTAATTAATTTTTATTATTATATATTTTATCTTTTGTATGAATTAATTCTTTTATATGATTAAAAAAAAATTGTTGTCGCCTACGGCATCAACTTACCTTGGCACGGCTCTGCATCTTATATTTTCATCCTTGATATCGTCGTTCAGTTACATAGTACTACACATGGTGAATAAGAAGAAAACCAAACTAGTGAAGGAAGACAAGTAAAAGCATTTTCAAAATCACCAAAGCTAAGCTCAGGAATCTTTATCCTTGGATAAGCTCCATGAGAGTCTGCTTATAACACTTTCGTCAACTAACTTGTAGTGATGAGACAACTGCCTGTGAATCAACCCGCAACACTTGTCTACTTTGCTTTGATATTTGCTGTACAAAGCCGGTATTGTTACAGATAGGATGGTCCCTGCTCACACCATCAAAAAGCATAAACCTCTCAGGTTCGCCGAGTTTGAAACAAAAATGGTGTATGAGAAAACATTCAAACGAGAACAACAAGCAAATGGAATAATCTATGAATGTTAAAGAGACTGGAGGCTAGGCGCTTTAAAATGCGTTTCTTTTCATTTAGGGTATCAAGTAACTAACCGATATAAACAAGAGTGCAGAAAGAAATATAGCTACCAATGGCAGAGAGAAGCCACAGACAAATCACCACCTGCTACAGAGAAATAGCCAAGACTGTTAACATTTAGGCCAATTGTTCACATTCCAAGAAAGAAAGAAAAAAAGTATCATTGTGAGTTTCATGAAAGGGTTGTTAACTTCATAACCTTGAAGAAGAGCCGAAAATCGTTGCCAACTGTAACATCATGAGCCATTACAAGCAAGTGATTGAGTTTGATACGGAAAGAAGCTGCGGCGCTATTCACCATTTCCTCTGAGAGAACAAGCTCTGGTAACGACTTCGGCTGTCTGCGGCGTATACAGAGAAAACATGTAGCAGTCACATAAACAGCAAAAGCAAAATAAATACTGAAAAAGGACTAGAGTGGTTGAGAAAGAGTGCGCACATATTCCTAAAAGCAGAAAATCGGGCATGGACGAATGATGTTATGATCACGATCAGTAAGACATCGGAAGAAATAGATAAGAAAGGCAATCCAGAAAGCTCGAATATAAGCCAAGCTACGGTTGATAAAACGATAACCCCCAAAGAAAGGTTTCTTCTCCTCCATAAGAGCAAGTCAGCAGCTGCATTAAAAAACAAAGCCATACATAAATGGTAGAAAGTCACTTGCAGAGGTTCTTAGAGCTTCAGAAAAAAAAAAACAGTGGCTTTTTTTCTAGTTCCTCATTCAAGATCCATAGAAAATGCGATCCAGAGTTGAATCCATCTAGTTCTCATTCAAGATCCAACGCTAACCTAACTTTCACCTGCCAAAGTTTACATCTTCTACTATATCCAAAATGGTAAATCTAGTTACAAACAGGACAATTTCATATCCAGCTAAAGTCAGAAAGTCTTTAACTTTTCTATGTATCATCATCTCCAATATGCATTTTTCTGCTCTGTAAATCCGGAAAGTTCTCATAGGAACTACCCAAATGATAATATAAATCAGAAGAAGGAAAAAAAAACTCAAAATTGGAAATGTATTTGCACACATAACAATTCCACAACCCAGTAAAATCCGAATCCCTAACTTATCCAAAGCATCATCTGAGATGATTCATCTCCAGCAACTCTGGGGTCGACAAATCCGGGAAATTCTCATCGGAAACTACCCAATTGATGAAAATCAAAAAAAAAAAAAAAAAAAGGAACTCGCCTTTGCCACCGCCCATGAACTGATGAACCGTAACTTGCCGACCCAACAATCGATAATCCGATGTGGATCCTCCTTCATTTCTTCCGTCGCAATCACCCTCGATGTCACTTGAACTGTCCATCGGAGATTCCAGGACCCGATTCTTAGAAAATTCTCCGACTTCCGAATGCCAGTTTTGGTTGATTTTCAGGAGAAGTCTCGCCTTAAATCTGCGATCTCGGAAATTCTCTGGGTACAATGGTGGTTTCTGGGCTGGAGAAAGGAACTAGATTGATCGGAGAATGGCGGCGATAGGGAATTCTCAAGGAGGAACCAAATAGAATCGGCCGTGGTGGTTGCTTTTACATGCATCCAAATCCAACATTTGTAAATTCTCCGCTTCTAGTCAACTTTCTTCATTTCTTTATACTTTCATTTCATCATCATTTCATTATATATTCATTCTTTTCTGGAATACAAATAATAAACTTTTTAGTCGCCAGAAAAAAACATTACTCCATTGCAGATTAAGAGCCTTGGGCTAACTGATCCAATATTGCGGCCCATAGAACCACAATTACATGTCTACGTGTCATGACTGTCACTTTAACTATACGTGACAGCTAGTCATATTATCACTCCTCTTAACTTTAAGCGCATATTTTCATTTTAGGCGACCACGAACCACGAAGGAGAAAGTATCTATCAACAACAATGGCGATTCGTTCTGTAGCGAGTAGAAAAACCCTAGCCGGCTTGAAGGAGACATCTTCGAGGCTTCTGGGATTCCGAGGAATCCAGACCTTTACGCTTCCTGATCTCCCCTATGATTATAGCGCGTTGGAGCCGGCGATTAGCGGCGAGATTATGCAGATTCATCACCAGAAGCACCACCAGGCGTATGTCACTAATTACAACAATGCCCTCGAGCAGCTGGATCAGGCCGTGAACAAGGGAGACGCGTCCACTGTCGTCAAGCTACAGAGCGCCATCAAGTTCAACGGCGGAGGTGTCTGACTTTTTTTCTTAATTCGAACCGATTTTCTTATTTTCGATCTCGATTCTCACTGTAGTCAATCGGTGGTTTGTGTTAGATCGTGCTTAGATGAAGTTATTGTTGGATGCAATCTAGGTTAATTTGAAAGCCACACCCTCGTGATCAATCGAATTGAGCTAAATTCTGCTGAATAATAATCTGATTTTCAGATGAAACCTTTCTCAGAATCAGTAAAAGCTTAATTAGTAATCCTAGTTGGCTTAGGAGGTACTTAGGTTGCTCGCTCTTGAGCTTAGAATCAGTTGTATTGATTGATAGAAGGAGGAACAAAATTGAAAATAGAGTTTTGCTTCATCTTCTTCATTTATTCTTAATGTTTTCGCAACAAACAATGGGGAATGGATTGTTTCTCTGTGCTAGAGAATGAAACTCATTGGGTCAATTTCGAAATGTGCAGGTCATGTGAACCACTCGATTTTCTGGAAGAACCTTGCTCCTGTCAACGTGAGCTTGTGTTTTGGAGTTTTTGTGTATATTTATTCCACTGCGTTGTTCTATGCTTAATGGTTTGTTTTTTGAATATATATAACAGCAAGGAGGTGGAGAGCCACCAAAGGGAGCTCTTGGCGGAGCCATTGACACTCACTTTGGCTCCCTCGAAGGTTTGGTGAAAAAAATGAACGCTGAAGGTGCTGCTGTACAAGGCTCAGGATGGGTGGTTAGTAGTCTAGTTTCACCTTTTAATGTCATTAGGGTCACATTGTTTGACTCTGGTGCTTTACTTATGATCATGCACCTTTGACTCAGCTTGTTTCTCTCTTGATTGATTCAGTGGCTCGGTTTAGACAAAGAGCTTAAGAAGCTCGTGGTTGACACAACTGCCAATCAGGTACTTGGAGTGTGATATCGATTGGTTTCAAAGATTTTGGTTTTGATATATGATAAATATGGTGAGAGTTTGTACGGTCGCAGGATCCACTAGTGACAAAAGGAGGAAGCTTGGTTCCTTTGGTGGGTATAGATGTTTGGGAGCACGCTTACTACTTGCAGGTAACAACACTTGTGGATCATAAGTTAAGCTTATAAGGTTAAGCAATAATCAGCTCTTTAATCACTCTTTTTCTCTTTTGCAGTACAAGAATGTGAGGCCAGATTATCTGAAGAACGTATGGAAAGTGATAAACTGGAAATATGCAAGCGAGGTTTATGAGAAGGAATGCAAGTGAATCGCTACAGGATGACATCTAGAGATGAGCCAGTTCCACAGCTCGGCTTTGTTTTTAAGGTTGTCTGAAACAAACTTACAATTGTCTCTCCTTTGTCTTTGAGTTAGCTCAACTGAGCTTGTGTGGATGCAATAAATACGTTGTTTTACAAATGAATTTCCAATAATAAAAGTTTTGCTTTTTTTTTTGTTGCAAATAATTTTCTTCGTTTTTATGAAGCAACGAAAAATCTATAGCTTTGTCTTATGTCTGCATCGTGGAAGATGGATCATAGTCAAGTATCATGAAAGACGCGTCGGGTCAAATTACATCTTTGGCCCCATTTGGAGTTTTAAAAATTGGTTTTTCTAAGTTTCCTCTTTAAAATTGTAGCTCCTTCGTGGAACCACCGTACCAGTTTCCCGGAAACTAATACAATGTGAATTCAAAATCTATGGTTCAGCTTACATGTAGGGCTAATAAAATAAATAAATAAATCATAGGAAACAGAAAGCTGATTTATAATTCATCAAATAACACATTGATAAATCGACACAGGATTAGAATCTAAACATTCTTGATCATTTCAATTCAAAAGGACCAAACAACGATCTAAAGTTCCTAAAATTACAATCTAGTTTTTTTGTAGTGTAACATTTACAATATTTTCTATTCAAATGTATAATCAAAGAATATCTATAGAAAACAAAAAAAGAAAGAATCCGGACAGAATAATCAACAAGATTAAGGAAAATGTCTAAATCTTGATGTCGTGACTTTTCTTGCTGGGCCCTGATGCCGGACGACTCCCTCTCGGAAGAGCATTCAACACCAATGAGCCGAACTTTCCGGCGACGACATCAGGCATAAAAGCATATTCCGTCTTTGTCTCCGTCGCGTCGCCTCCGCAACCCACCACCGCCTTAGAGTCAGGAGAGATCTCTCTGGGTAATATAACGTTATCGATGACCGGAAGAAATTCTCCGGGTAAGATTCTAGCCGACGATAGAGAGACTGAGATGAAAAGGAGAATCAGAAGCAAAGATCTGCTTTTCGCCATTTTTTCGATGATCTTTTGTGAGTGTGAAAGAGAATCTTTTTGTTGTCGTAATTAGTCTACTTGGTTTGAAATATGAAGTGGGTGAAGATCAAAGAGAGTAACTTATACATATATATATACAGAGTGTGTGAGCAGAGAAAGGTCAATGGGAGTTGGAAAGCTTACGCGGCAAGTGTTAGACTTAAAACAGAGCTGAAAGAGAAGAATCGGTCCTTTCGAGTTTACGGTCCAACTAAAATACTATTTTCTTATTATTTGTTTATTTTAAGATTTCCTGTCTTTTAATAGTCTAAAACGTATGATAGCTGAAAAAGCATACAAAACATGATTCGGGTATCAATTTTAAATACCGTTCTTCTATGTAATACACGAAAAAGTCTAGGAATACACGCAAGCTCTTGAACTTCGAAGAAAAAACAAAATGTGTGTTACGATTTCTTTTTTTTTTTTTTGTAATGCATGATCGTATATTTTATATGGAAATATTAAATAACATTCACGAGTTTTACAATCGATTACAATATTAGACACGTTTGTGGGACCGTATAGTTTGACGTATGCATGAGAATCGAGATGATCAACAATACAAACTATTTCACATCAGTAAAAACAATAGTAATAAGGAGAAAACTGAGCAAAACATATCTTCAAAAGTACAATGTCCATTTAAATCAATGCCCATATTAAATGAAATTCCAAAGAAGATAATAGTTGCACTTTCTTTCATTAATGGAGTTTCCAACTACTACCAATAAAAGCCGATCTGCACCGTCAGTTTTGACCATGTCCTTCTTCTTGTTCCCCAAGTCTCTCCCACACGCTCACAGTCACACCGTCACACACACACACACTGACACACATGCACTTACACGTATATTAACGTGTGTGTGAACATATAACTTTTTGTCTCCTTCACTGGCTGAGCCAAATTTCAACTTTAGTTGTGTAGTAGATAACACGAATATCATCTATTGGATATTGCGGTGGAACTTTATTGACTTTATGTTTACTCAAGATATAGCTAAAAAGTAACATTTTTGAGCGTAGAAAGTAGACTATTTTCTTGTTGTCAAGGTGTAGAAAAAGCAGAGTTTATAGATTCACATAGACCATAGGCCAAGATTATAGAATAATTTCCAAGTCCGAAATGGAACAATTATTCATTTACATGACCTAATCTCTCTTTTATCACTAACTCTGACGAAGACCAAAGTCAAGTGTTGAGTAAAGTTGAGTTGTGCCATCACTTTACCGAATGTTATAATTACATTTTTGTAAGAGTATATGTAAAAACTTTATCTTTATTCAGAGTAAAGTGTCATAGTTGGGAGAGCTATATAAGACCATTTTATACGAGTCTTGAGTAAGACCTCATGTGTTCTGTATAGACACTGAGAAGAAGACGACAAGGCGGATTAACTCGGCGTAAGAGATTTTGTAACCATTAGTAGCTTATTCAGAATATACAAAAGCTCTTGATAATGATTTGAAAACGTACATATGCTCTAGCTCAACTGATTTCAAGTTCCACGGATGGCCCTAACACGTTCTTGAATCAGTTTCCTCTCCCAATCTGCAATGTCCTCGAACGCGTTCTCAGGGAGATTCTCAAAGGGCTCTTTCCACGGATCGTTCTTCGCCAGATCATATGTCGCTCCCCGGATGGCTCCTTTGTTAGGACCACATTGACGCTTTGATACCAATGTGTCATAAGCTGTGTTCAGCTGTTTTCAAACGCAGAATCATCAGATCGTGAAAACTTTCTTGGAGTGAAACAGAGTGAGACTTTTTTTTTTGAACTTACGTTCATGTCGCAGAACCAATACATATAAGCAATCGAAACCGCAGGAGCTCTTCCCAACCCGGCTGTGCAATGCACGTAGACTCTTCCTTTACCTTCCGAAACCGCCCATTCCAAAGAAGAAACAGCTTTCGGAAGTTGGCTTCTTAACGAAAGTGGATCAAAGTCTTTTGCCTGTAAGAAAAAACTGATTGATACAAAAAAAAAGATCTCGGTTTCTTAACATAAATTCACAGTTTGAAGCAAGAAAAAATGTTACTTACGGGCCTTCTCATGTGACGGATCCCAAGCTCTTTACATGTATTGACAATAGAGTCGAGATCGATTCCCCAATACTCAATGTCCTTGTCTTGTTGCAAGTTAAGTATGTAGGCAACGTTCTCTTCCTGTTTCAAGTGATGTATATCTTCAGGTTTCTGCGGCTGTGACCCAACTATCAGTTCGTCTCTTATCAATGTATAGTTCATCCCTGACCAACACACATCAAACAATCTTAGAAACTTCCTCACATCAACAGCTAGAACCCAGGAAACTCCTTATGAGCTTCAAAAATCCATAGAACACATAAATTTCGAAAATTTATCCCAAATGTCAAGAAACCCATAACCGCCAAAACTCTTGGAACTCAATCAACGAACTACACTCAGCTTCTTTGAGAAACTCACTCAGTTCCAAATTTCCAATCTAATCACAGAGTCAAAAATGAACACTTTTGAGGTACGAAGAAACACTAAATCAATAAATCGTATCGGAAAGTCAGTGAATTTCGGGGGAAAAAATCATCGGTGAAAGAAAGAGATACCCAGATCGTGATGATACTCATATGGGCTCCTCATCAATCTCTTCATAGCTGTATTGTAATCCTCCATCTTGTTCTTCGAGCTGAGAGAAACTCCCTTCGGTCCTGGATTCTCTCCAACTCCACTCCCTGAGATTTTGCAGGAAACAGCGGCCGCTTTGCCCAGATTTCTGGGAAATCTTGTGTCAATCGATGATTTATTAATCGAATTGAGCCAAGAGGACTTCTCATTTTCTCGGGAGTAACCCGTCAGGGAGAAAAGATAGCTCTTGCTTCCAATGACACTCATCGTCTCTTTCTCTCTCTATCACTTAATCGTTCTTCTCTCTGTTTCTTCCTTCACCTGATGCAACATTGGGAATCTCCAGAATGTACGTTTCACAATGATGGTCACACAAACCATTCGCACGAACGAAAACGACGTTCTGTTCCTATTGGGCTTTTATTAGATGGGCTTGCAATATTAAATTTTATTTAGCCCATTAATAAGAACCCTAATTCACTTGCCTGTACATTTATCAACATACAAGCAAACAGTTTAAGTTAAAAGAGTCTTTCTTCTTCGCCGAAGCTGCCAATCGTCAAGCCGGTGAAAATGGTGAGTTGATCTTGTGTGTGTTGTATTTGAATGGAGTCTCTCCCTATTTGAAATTTAATATTCGTTACCCTTATATCATGAGATAGAGAGGATTGTTTGTATGTTTGTATTCGTTTGGAGGTAGTGATCAAATGAATATTGATTGGTAGAGATTGATCCATCACCTGTTTGTTTTCCCATAATCTGGTTTCGTTTTCTAATGTTCGAGCTTGTTTCGTGTTTGAATTGTATTAATTCATTCAGTTTACATGTCGTTTTTTTGGGGTTGCAGACAAAGAGAACGAAGAAGGCTGGAATTGTCGGCAAATATGGTGAGTACATAGCATTTTTGCTTTGAATTATGTAAATTCACATTTCTTTTTCTTGATTCATTAATTGAAATTCTAAACCCGTTTGTGTTTGCTTAGTTAGAAGAACTCAAATCTGAAATTGTGATTTTTTTGAAAAGGTACAAGATATGGTGCCAGTCTTAGGAAGCAGATCAAGAAGATGGAAGTGAGTCAGCACAGCAAGTACTTCTGCGAGTTCTGTGGAAAGGTACTACTCTCTTTAGGATGAATCTCTTTATCTAAATTCAATTATTTGACTCTTTTTGTGTGGTAAAGACTTTTTGGTTATGATGATATCTGATGCAGTACGCGGTTAAGAGGAAAGCTGTTGGTATTTGGGGTTGCAAAGATTGCGGGAAAGTGAAAGCAGGCGGTGCATACACAATGAAGTAAGTTTGTGAGAGAAATAATTATTTTGGTTTTCTTTCATTCTTCTCTGTTTCTGCATTTCGCTTTTTGAGTTACATTCTGATTTTAGATTTTGGTTTTGGTGTTTTCCTTTTAACAGCACGGCTAGTGCTGTGACGGTTAGGAGTACCATTAGGCGATTAAGAGAGCAAACCGAGAGCTAGATCAAGAGTCATAACCGTGATCTCACACTCACAAGTCAGTTTTGTTATTATCAAATATTGAGTTCTTTAGGCTTCTGTTTCCTTTTTTTGGGTTCAGATTCTTCACATTTTTGAATTCATCCCTTGTCTTTTTTGCTTTCTGTATCAAACCTGCCATTGGCCAACGTTTCTTCTTTCTAATGAAGTTCTTGGTAGATTTGAGTTGTGATTATATGTACTTTGATTTTCGATAATATGTATGCATAATAATGTAGGAATGTTTGATTTGATCAATATGGGATTAATCAAAACTTATTCAAGAACCAAGCTTCATTTTGACATTTCTGTTTTTATTTGCTTTTTTTTTTTTATAATTCAAAATCATTAACTAATGTCATAATTAGCTTTGGAATTTGACAAGCCTACCTGAATTGGTTTGAAATGGTTTGAACTTTTTACATTCTCAGCTATGTCCAAACATAAAGAAACTAATTGAATATGTGCTGTATCATTTTCTTTCTGAACATGAAAAGACTTATGGAGATTGCAAATGTTACATTTGTCTTTATTCTTTTCCCATTTTTACAGTTTTCTTTTAGAAAAAAAAAAAACTAAAAGAGAAGAAATAAATCAATCATCCCCACTCACTCCGTCACTCGTACTTTCTTCCTAGTAAAGAAATCTAAAATTCAATAGTAACAAAATTGTGAAATTATAGGAAAATAGAATGAAAAAAAAAATATATCTAAACTGTAGGAGTCTCGTTAACTTTCACAACTCCATTATTATCCTCTTCCTCAACTTTCCTTTTCAAAAACCCTAATTTCACCATACCTTCTTCTCCCCAATCCCATAGATGTAGCACGATGTAGGTCCCAATCCCTCCGATCAATCCGTACGCGATGGAGTAAGTCAACGGCATCAGAATCATTGTTATGAATGCCGGAATCGCCTGCCTCATATCTCCCCAATCGATCTCCGTCACCGATTTCATCATCATCACTCCGACCAGTATCAACGGCGGACCAACCGCCCACGCCGGGATCGAAGCTAGCAACGGCGTGAAGAACATCGCCAGGAAGAAATAAACCGCCACCGTAATCGCCGTCAGCCCCGTCCTCCCTCCTTCCCGTATCCCCGTCGACGATTCGATGAAAACCGTCACCGGAGATGTCCCAAGCAAGGATCCGATCACGATCGCTGACGCGTCGGACATAAACGCGAAGTACTGTCCCGCGAAATCTCCGTTCTCGTCGACGAATCCGGCGAATCTAGCCATGGAGTAAAGCGTCCCCGTCGTGTCCAGAATATCGACGTAGAGAAAGGTCACCAGAGCTTCCCAGAAATGTCCTTTGCTTATCCCGGAGAAGCTCAAAGCTCCGGCGGTGTGCTTGATGACGTGTACATCGACGACCTTTTTAAAATAATCGTGAGCCGCGTCTCCGGCGGCCGTGTTGGGAAACGCCGTTACGTCGGTGTTACGGAACCACGAAACGGCCGTTACGAAGACGATCCCGTAGATCATCGCTCCTTTCACGTTCTTCACCAAACAATAAGCTATGATCACGAATCCGACTATGCCTAGCCAGAACGTGGGGCTCTCCATTCGCCCGTGGAGGCACATAATGTCGCCGGAAACTGCCCCGCCGGCGATCAAACTGACGGTTCCGTTAGCCGACGTAATTACGGGAGCTAACGATGCTCGCGACGAGCTTGGACAGGCGGCGAGAGTGACGAGTGTGGAAGGGCTGTAACCGACTAAACCGAGTCCTTGATTGTTCTGTAATCCGATGAAGGCGAGGAAGAGTCCGATTCCGGCGGAGGAGCTGATTCTGACTGGTTCAGGGACGAGTTTAGCGAGCTTGGCTCTGAAACCTATGGCGGAGATGAGGAGAAATATCAATCCCTCGATGAAAACGGCGGCGAGAGCTGTCCGGTAAGAGATTGACCCGGATCCGTGAAATCCAACGACGGTGTAAGCGAAATACGCGTTTGTTCCCATTCCCGGAGCTAGAGCTAGAGGGAGATTCGCCATAAATCCCATGATTACACAGCCGATTAGAGACGAAGCTACGGTGGCGACGATCAGATCCTTACGAATTCCTTCGACGCAGGAGGCGTAACCGGGATTAACCGGTTCGAATTTACAGGTCACGTCGGGTTGGATCAATCGGAGACCCGGTCCGGTACACTGGGAAGGTGGGATCGTTGGGTTTGAGCAGAGCGGAACACAGTCGGAAACAGAGCAAGTTCCACCGGAATCAGAGAGGATTGAGGCATTAACGGCGAGGATATAAGCCATGGTGAGGAAAGTCGCCGTACCAGCACGGAGCTCGGTCGTGAAAGTAGAATTCCGTTCGGCGAGTTTGAACCGCTTACCAACCCGGCTCGAACCAACGTACGTGTTGAGTCGGTTTAGTAGCTTGGGCTTGGGTCTACTACTAGAAGGTAGTTCTTGCTCCATTAAAGATCACAGGAGAAATGAGAAAATACAAACCTTTTGTTTTGTTTTCCTGGTTTTGTAATTTAGTGAAGACAACAGGAGGGTGCTTATATATAATATATCCACTGTATATGTATACATATATATGAGGGTAGAGAGAGAGAGAGAGAGAGAGAGAGAGAGAGAGAGAGAGAGAGAGATGATTAGAGAGAGGAAAGATTCTAGTTAGATGAAGGGGGATCTTCGAGGAGAGAAGTATCTCACATGTAACCATGTGTCCACGATTCTTTTATTTTATTCTCGTAATATATAATCTGCAACTGTTGAGTTTGTTCGTGATTGTAAATGTATTTATAAACTTTCCATTTTTATTTTTAGAAGTGTTTAAAAATATCACTTTCCTACCTTTTTTCCAACTGGTATTTTGAATAATGTACGTATTGAGTCGGCAACCGCTTGTGTAAATACAAATATTCAATTAGTAAAATGCTAATGCGTATTAATAAATAGTGGAAGATTACACAGACTGATCTCCTTTCAGTAATTAGTCAAATAGTTAGTGTGCGATTACGTTTGAAGTTTCAATTATTTATTGTTGATATACATTTCTTTAGATGAAATTATGTGCAAATTATTTTAAAAATAATGTGTTGCAAGTTGAGTCATCATCTGCCTTGATCCTACCGTGTACTGTGTGTAGCTCTGTGAATATAAAAATAGTGAGATCGCGTCACTTACGAACAATATACTATAATGTGTACAGTAGCTTTTGCAATAGAAAATATACGCAATTGGTAATATTGTGTGGTAAAAAAAACTTGTAAATAGAAATGGTGTTCTAATAAATTTTAAACATGGTTTGTGTTTACTAAATTTAAATGATAAATTCCAGATGAAAACATTAACCGAATATGAACAACTGTGGCCATTATTTGATTTGTTTAGTAATTTGATTACGGTGTGGTGTGTGCATATGTGCAATTACGTACGGCGAAAGGGGGAAACGTTACAAATTTTGATACAAATTCAAGTGTGAACAACTCCGAACAAACTCCTCGTATATTGCCCGCTGACTTTTGCCTCTCGAGGGTTGTTTTAAAAAAATTCCAAATAATCTACAATAGACACCACTTGGTTTCTGTTTGTTTTTTTTGGTTTGTGGCAATTTAGGATGAATTTGGTGAATAAACAAAAAAATATATAGTAACCAAATGAGTTAGAGAGAGATAGGGAGAAGTAAAGAGAGAAAATGGTTAGTTTTTAAGTTATGATTTTTGGGGGGTTATTGATGATGATGCGTTGCAGAATTAGCAAGCTAGTGTTCGCTGACAAGTTAACAAGTTGATCATTTGTTTTTCAAGTGAACCATCGTTTTAGTCATTTTTTCAACTCAATTTGTAGGTGGCAAGTCAAAGATATCGGTTTGACTACAATAATCGTACGATATATAAAAATATAATCTTTTCCATATTTAAATCTAAATAGTAAAATACAGTAGAACCTCTATAAATTAATATTCAATAAATTAATAATTACTATAAATTAATAATTTTTATTGGTCTTAAGTCGGGACAGTGTAAAAATTGATAAAATTCGATAAAATAATATTTTTTAAAAAAATCTTATATAAAAATATAGTCCCAATAATAATATAAATTAATAATTATACATTTAACCATGTGTAAATAATATAATATAATAAAATATGATAGTATTCTTGTTTCAAATTTATAAGTTTTGTTTGATTTATGTTCTAAATTCATTATTATGACATTTTCTGAATGAGTTTTACATTGTTAAAATTTTTTTTTTGGTTTTTCGATGAATATTAACAATTTAAACCAAAAAATATCTCTATAAATTAATAAAATATTAATTTATTGATAAATTAATAATTATTAATAATTATTAATTTATCAATTAATTAATAACTCTATTAATTAATAAAATATAAGAGTCCCAATATTATTAATTTATAAAAGTTTTACTGTACTGATAAATCAACATCATTAGTACAAACCAGTGAACCATTAGAACAAATCTTTTTTGAAATGTACATTTATTTCTTCAACAACACGTGGACATAAATAAGCAGAAAATTACTCTTTATTGTATAGTTACTTTTCCTTGATTTGAGTAGGTAGAATCAATCCATACATACTAATATGTAGATTTGGAGGTCGAGTATGTTGTCGGAGCCATTCAATCATGTGTCTTTGTTATGAGTGCCATGCTATTTATTGTTTGGGTCTGACTATATTACCTTACAAGTTACAACTCATTAGCCAATATGATATCGTTTTAGAAGAGAAGTCAGAAAAATATCGAGGCATTCATAATATAGTTAAGTATTAAAATATTTGGATTCCAAATGTCATGCAAGTGATTCTGTTGTCTGTATATACCTATTCTACATGTAATATATTAGAGGACTGTAAGATGCATACCTTTTGTTATATACCTATTCTTGTCGCAACCCAAATAAATCATTTGATCACACAAAATCTACATAAATCTTAGGCTTACGGTAGAATTTTTTAAACAATACGTTTCTACCATCTCAGCCCAAATCTGGTTGAATATGAAGAAATTCAGTTTATAATGAAAATCAAAATAAATAATACTTTTGGTTTGTGAAATTATATTAATTATTGGAATATATAGATTGGTGGTGGTCGACTTCACGTGAGGAGATGCCCTCATTCGGCAGTCATTTTTCTCTTGGAGTCATAAATTTGCAATTAATAAATGTATTTCAACTACTTGGCAACAATTTCATTTTTTTCTTTTCTTTTGGGTATATAAGTTCAAACATATTTATGTTTCTCGATCATAACTGATAACTCAACGGCTCCACCTTGTCTGATTTTATCTCGTCCACATAACTTAAAGGTTGGTTTCGATTGTAACAGAATAATCGATTTTATTAGCTGTGATGTTAATTCTCCAATATTTTTTTGTCATTTAATATTCGCGTTATGGCACTTTTTCGTAGCATGGAGTGAGTTAAAAAAAAAAATTTAATTATCTAAAGAAATGTAAGTAAATTATTAGAAAGAAGGAATATTGTAATCCAGAAGCAAGAGACCATCAAGGTCTCGCATATAGCAAGCAGAAGGTGTGACAATTCGTTGTGAATTAGAATCATTCTTTATAGACGTTGATGTACTACGACACTACAGATAAGAAATATGTGTAAATCATATAGTCAATGTTGATATATTATTCTAAAAGCCGATTCCTCATAGTCCGATTTATAGCCAAGTATATATTATTTGACACCCATCAATCTCTGTCTACCATTTTTGTCTTTAATTTGTCATCATTTTTTGGGTAATATTAATGTTTTACCGATTCAATAGAAAATAATATGTCGTTAAAACAGTAGTTGATGATATATATGTATTTGTATTCTATATATTAATGTTTTTTTGAATGTATGGATAGTGAAATGAAGTTAAAACTTAGATTAAAATAATAATAATTACGGCCTAATATGCATGACAGTATGAACACATGCAACAAATCAAGTTTATTATATTTGTTTTAAATGCTAATAAACGAAAGTTTCGAAGCAAAACATTAATAAACCGACCACCACAACTTGATATAGTTTTTAGGTCGGTAAAAAGGAACACAGTTCGACATGTTTCCACTTTGTATCCGACTTAGAATTGTGTTTATTTTCTTTCGGTTCTTTTATAATTGGATAAGTAACAAATAGATCTTAAACTAAGTGGGTCCTCCCCCGAAAAAAATCATACAACATTGTATCTTTCTTAGTAGCATTATCGTTTTTTCAGAAGGCATTATATATAAATATAAGTCTTATTTTTGAAAAACAAGCAGAAGGATAAAACAAACGTAAGAAAATAAGAAATGAAAGTTTCATGGGAAAGTATCGTTCGACCACTCTTTTTGCGCTGTCAGATTTTTGTTCGCTTCCACATGATCTCGACAACTAACAAGGCACTATCATATGAATCTTCGCTGCCTAACTAAAAATGGTCATCAAAATATTTGAAAATGATCTTATTAGTAGTCATAAATAATTAGCTAGAAAATGATATCTACTTGAATTTTATTCAACTAAACGCTCCTCGTATGAACATATTGTATCAAAACATAACTTTGCTTTGAACTTTTTGTAGCGATATTATACGAAGCTATTGGAGTGTATAATAATTGAGTTACTCGTAGATGCTTTTTATGGCTACCATCACTTGATTAGTCTTATAAAATCTGAAATAATTTTAAATAGGTGTGATTAGATGCAGTGGATTTGGGAGAGGTTATAAGAAAGTCTAATCAGTGGAGGGATTTGAACTTTTTAATGATGGAGTTGGCCAATCCAAAGTGATTAGTGGCGAAGTGTTGGCCTCTACTTTTTTCCCCTCTTGTGTTCATCTTTCTTCTTTCTAAAACCCACTAAATATATTCATTTAAATTTTATTTGTCATCTGTTAATCATTAATATTTTAGTGCATATTTTACATAAGCAATGATACAGACAACTATTGTTCCAAAGACCATTGGCCACACCATATTAGATTCGAATTTGGTTGTCTAAATATAAGATACGGCTAAAACAAGATTACAGTGTTTAAAAAAAATGATAATGAATCGATCTGTAGGAAAATAAAAGCTTTTCAAATATTTCGATAATAATCAGTTTGTAGACTTTTGTTCCATTTTCTCCAAAGTGTGTAGCAACACAGTCAACATCTTGTCCTCTTCTGTGTTAGTTGGATTGTCTTATTACTTAACCGAAGATCTCTTTCTTTGAATAATATATGTGAAGATTATGTATTTTTCTTAATGCAAAATATAAAGGGTTTGCTGAAAAAAGAAGACCGCAGCATAATGAGACTATTCATCTTCGTTTGATTTTTAAAGAAATAAAAATCTATCTAATTTTTAAAGAAATAATGATCAGCATTTTTAATTCATCTATATCATTGTTTTGGTCATTTTTCGATATTATCATCTATGTGTCAAAATCAACATTTTGCTGGCTGGGGAGAAGTGGACCCAATACTTTTTCTCTACAAATTCGTCCAAAAGTCGCATTACACCACACGCACTTAATTTATACAAGAATAAATTAAGATAAATAAAAAGCTCAGATCCAACTGAATGAGTACAAATTTCAAATTCTTAACTTTCTTATTTGCACCTTATTTTAGATAATATTATTCAACTAGATTACATTTGTCTGAGACGTTTTTGAATGCATAGAAAATATATATGTTTACAACAAAGCCTAATAGCTAATGACAGTTGAGACATTGGAGAATCTAATCATTACAAGTTTTAAGCTGCACGATGGAACAAAGGATAAGAAGTCTCTCAAAGAACATTCTGATTATGATTAGTATAAAACATAGAAAGAGACCCCACTTTTATTTTTCTTTTCTACAATCCCGCCAATACAATGCCAAAATGAATTAAATACACATTTATTTAATGATTAAAATCTTAATGTAAAATACAGGAGAGATCCTTTATAAAAGTTTTGTGATTTATGCGATTCTGTAAAGTACAATTAATTGTAGGGGCACATGTCAATCAAATTCGCAATTTGAATCAAAGGTCCTTTTTAGGTTTAATTGTAACAATCAAATTGCTTCATTTATCCATTTCCCTAAAGGACAACCTCTTTTTTTTTATTCTCTAATTGTTCTCTTCTAAATTCAACCTAATAATCTCGAATTATTAACCGCACGTGGACCAATAAGTTAATATCTTTCTGCAAATAAATCTATAATTGATGGCATAATACAATTGTTATCATAGTAGAATAAGCAACTTTTCATGTTTCTACTATGATTAATGTGACACATGATATGATTGTTTTAAGGCATAACTGAAACATCGATGGAGTAATAAGTTTCAGTTTCATCACTTTCGTTGAACAGTCACTGTTCCAGTTTTTGTCTTTTTTTGGGTTCTACTTTAAAAGTATCTGATTCGTTTCAAGCCCACCATTGATGCCATTGTCCAAAGCTCCCAAGAATGTTTTCTTGGGTCCACTTTCCCATCGCTTTCTCAGGAAAAATCCACACAGCCAAATATGTAACAATGCAATGAGATTTTAAAACACTGATCTCGAAACAACTAAATAACCAGAGAAAAACTGTAGATAATAAAAACTGAAATTCACTCGATAGAACCGGTTTCCACCAAGTATATAATCAAAACATACTTATAAACTTAAAGCACAATGCACCTCTAACCTAACTACTATATGTCGCGATCCAATGCCTTAGAATATGGTATCAATGGTTAGCTTTCTTTTCGGCGGCGATTTTTCAATGATTTGCTTCTCGTGATCCATGAACGTAGAGCCTCTGTTTGCAAACAATCTTCTCAGGTTTATCACCGAGAGCTCGTAAAAGTTTCCAACAGCAAGATCAGCCTGAACCAGATCATACCTGCAGATTTTGTTTTGATCATAACTTAGATGCAAAAAAGAAACGCTTCTTCCTGTTCCCAAAAAGGAATCATTTTTTTCTACTTACGCTCGATGAGCACCGATTAATCCAACCGCCATCATAGTACAGTTGTGAGCAGCGGTTATACCCCTTGGATCATCCTCAAACACAACACACTTAGATGGTTTTCTATCCAACTGCGCAAAAAATTTCAACTTTTCAACAACATTTCTCAGAGAATTTGGGCTTAGGAGGACTCACGGTAGCTGAATCGTAACGGTACCTTCACAGCTGCGGAAAGAAACCTATGAGCTATCGATTCCATGCCATCTTCCTCGGAAACTACTGCCTGAAACAGAGAGAATGGATAAAAGAAGCATCAGCAGATATAACCATTTATCTATATAAAAAAAGGGTAAGATGATTCTTTAAAGCTATGACTGGCCTGGAAATACTTTTGAAGTCCCATCCGTTCAAGAGCACTGATCATGTTTTTACGATCCAGGTTTGAGACAACAGCACAGGGGATGCGAGCATTTGTGACAGCGTCGAGCCAATCTCTAATTCCTTCTTTTGGTTCTGTGAGCTGAACATTTCGATAGTGAAACAACTTAGGGAACCCGAAAAAAAAACCATGCATTTTAGTAAAAACAAAGATTGATAAAGAAAGACGTTACTCTGAGAAGATTATCGTAGTATATTTCCGATAGCCTGACTTTCAATCTGTCGATTTTGCTTTGCGTCTTTTCCCAAAACAACACCTGATATATTTGGAAAAAACAATCAATTAAATCCCATTCCTTATGATAGGAATCTAGCAGAAACATAGAGCTCGTTATGGGTAACTCGTAAATATAAAAGAATACCATATGAGAAAAGGGATTGAATTCACAAGAAAATATTGATATCATTGCTTGCATAAAATGGCATCTGAGAAAAGAAATGTCAAACCTTACTCAGCACATGGTCAGCGCCGGAATAAAGCATCAGTCTTTGGATGTCATCCTCCTCCACAATCTCTTTTCCTGACAAACAATTTAAATGTACATATCTCAAGGGAACACACGCTATTAAAACACTCAAACGTCAAAAAGAAAACGCAAGGCCTGAATGAGGATAATCTAACGTTGAGTTCATTGATATCTCTGGACAATCCCTCGACAATCCTTAAAAAGGCATGAAAAGTACTAAGCAGATAACAGCACGATATCTCTTTCCACTCACAAAAACTTAAGAAGCTTACCTTCTTCGGCAGCTAACTGCTTCCAAGCATCCAACTTCAAACTTCGAGTATTAGCCTACAAAGTTTGAACCGTAAATGCAAAAACGAGAAATTTCAACTCCTGAATCCACAACTAGTAAGCATGGACCATGCTTTTTCTCTAGGACTTACCAGCTTACAGTATAGCATCATCTCAAGAAGCAATAAACGTATACTTCTAGGTCAAAAACTAGTACACATGGACCACGCAATTCTATTCTACAACTTTTAAGATTTACCAGATAACAGGGCAGCACCATCAAAACAAACTAACGAGCGATATTTATAAGACAAATCCTCATACATACTCCACCACCAGAAGGGGAAGCCATTGCAGCTAATCTACTTCTTAGCTACAAGTACTTCCACTAAGTAACTTGCAAACATTTTAGATGGGGGTGTCAAAGAGGTTACCACGACATTGTCCCATGAGAAAATAAGTCCATAGGCTTCATCTGGTTTCATTGCGTAACGTATTCTTTGAAGAAAACCATCTTGCAGCTTCTCATTCCAGAAATCCTACTTACAAGCAAAGAAAGGAAATCACTTGTTTACCCACAAAGCAAGCTTTCCAGAAGCAGCTTCTTCTGATCAAATTCCTCAGCACTAAAAACATTAACCAGATTAAAACATTCATTATGCAATCACAAGCTCTTACCACATCCACTTTGAGAGGACCGTCCTGCCTAAAAGTCTCAAACCCTTCTCCATACTCAGCTCCAATCGCCTGAGATTCAACAAAATCATCCATCAATTTTCCTCTTTTCAATCCAGGAAACACAAGAGACTTGTCTAGTTTCTCTTGAGCTTATCGGATTAAAATTACCTCTTGCATAAAGAGTTTGTTTGGCTTAAGAGGGAACCCATTAACGTCGCCGTTTCCATCAGACCCAGAAGAAGAACTCCTCACTACTATACGATGCTTCACTAACTTCGTATCTTTAGGTATCTGATACCAAAACAAAAAAAAATTAATAATTATTCCAATTGAATTCGAATTGAAGCTAAAGCCGTGATACTAAGCTGCTTATACAAACCCAGAAGCTGAGATTCGAGGTGGGATTAGAGCGAGGGAAGCGAAAGGACGGTTCGGAAGAGAGGAGCAGAGACGAGGGGCGAGTACTGCAGGAGCAGTCCATGATCAATTGATTTGATGGGAATCAGAAACTGGGAAGAAGATGAAAAAGCATTCGTTTTTATAGGGACAGAGAGAGAGAGAGAGAGAGAGAGAGGTTTATTGCATAATCAAAGGGTTCGGACACGGAACTATCTAAAAGCCTTTGTTCTGGTTCATACGTTTGGAGCCAGACAACGTCTCTTCTGGTGGGGAAAGCCAAAGGGGACACACACAGAGAATTAGAGAGAACGCATTATCCCAAATTCCCAATGGATCACACTATGGTTGCCGTTTTATTTTCTCGGTAAGAGACGTGGCGTCGTTTACAAAGATGTCAAACACCACGAAATCTGGCAAACACTAACGCTTTAAACTTTTTGATGACTAGATAGAGGAATGTTAATGGGCTAATCAAATAAATTAATTGTCTTGCGGCCTAGGAAATTTAGGGCCCGGTTTATGAGTCACTACACAATTTGATGTGATGACAGTGGTATATAGGATTGTCAGATTTAATATTTAATTAATTAGTATGTATATATATAAATGAGTAGAGTTATTCGAATATGAATATATACATAATTTGATCTATATTTTGTTTTATAATATATACTAAGTGATTGGCCTGCACATATGTACAGATATAATATTATTGATATACATAGTTAATTATAATGTTTAAATGTTGATTACTTTTTTTCAAACATTGGTATGTTTATATATATATTATTTTAATATTTCACAAACTTCTTTCTGAAACTAATGTATTTTAAAATATTTTATTTTTATAATGTTTGTAATAATATATAATCACAAATATAAAAATTATATTAAATAATAATTAAATTTTTATAATATTTTTTGAATATTTCTATAATATGTTTTATTTCTCCTTACACAATCTACAATATGCTTTTTTGCGTCTTACATAATATGAATTTATGAATTTGCAAATACATATATAATATATTTTAAGTATATATTTTCAATTTTTTGTATATTAAACTGAAATATTTTTTATTATTTTTACTTATTCGTAAGAGCAGATAGATGGTTGGCACGCATGTGCGGACATACAACCATTTCACTACACTTAAAATAGATAAAAAATATTATAAATATAAATTGTATAATAATTAAAATGAAAATTAGACTGTAATCAAGCTTAACAAAATACATACGAACTTTTTAAGTGACTTCAGCTAATGCATAATTAATATTTATGTTTGTACGCGTATTTGTAAAAAAGTCCAGATATAGCTCTTATGTGTTAAAAATATTTTAAGTGACTTTGTAAAACAAAGTGCAATAGATTTATTTTTATATACTTCTATTTTTATTTCTTATTCATATTTGTTTCATCTTATTTTAATTTATTATTTCGTTCGATTATTTTTTATTTCATTTATGATCTCAATTTTTGATATATAATAAAAATATATATATATATGTGAATATGATATAAAATTTTATTTTTATTTAAAATATGATAAGGGATAAGATGAGTTGGTAACATAAGTTAGGTACATTTTAGAAAACAACAATAAAAAGATGATAAAATTTATAGAAAATATATGGTCCTATTAATATTATAAAATAATAATTAGTATATACTTTATTCATTTAGTAAATATTGGTTTAAAATTATTTTAAATTACGTTTTTAAAAAAAATTCAATAAAAGTTAATTATCTTTATTATTTTTAACATTCTATTCTTTAAATTATTTTTATCATTATTGTATTTTATTTAAATTTTTTTATTTAATAATTTGTTTATTTAAAATTTGTTTAGATGTTATTACTATATTTTGTAAATTAATATATTTCCAAAATAAAAATATATCATACTTCAAGTATTATTAATATGTAGAATTTGTACTATTCTATTGGATATTTAGTATTATTTCTTTTGCTTTTATATGAAGTTGAAAAAATTTCGTAGTTATATTTTATGAAATTATGAATATATGTAAAAAAATTGAAATTTTAATAATTATTATTTTCTGTTAATTTAAATTTGTTAATTTTAGTGTTATAAATATAATCTAGTGTTTTATATTTTAGTTTTACAATTTCTTTAATTTTAGTTCAACCAATCAGAATATTTTATTTATTTTAGAAAGTTTGACATGTCACATTTACATGTCATCAATTAAAAGCACTAACTTTGGTTGTAGTATTGACAAATCAGCTATTTTCAATAATGTTATTTCTCAAATAATATGTAGTGAATTGAAAAATATAGCTAGGATTACATTATAAAAATAATCATAATATCTAGCAGTTTTTTCTATCATTGTTTCTTTCATAATGTATAGGTAGTTTTTTTAGGTATTTAAAATTATATATCTTACTAAAATATAGGAAAATATCTTCTTATAAACTTTTTAAATAATTATTAATAAATCTAAGATATCCTTGAAATGAACATGCATATATATAAACAATAAATGATGACTAATTCTCACAGAAGAAACATGTATATATAAGACCGCACCACAAGTGTGATAAGTTAACTCAACACTATTTAACTATTGAATCTCTCTGTATCTCTCTGTTCATGATCAAACTCCCCAAAAATATGAACAAAGTCTCTAACATCCTCACTTTCTTTTGCCTCCTATCTCTCCTATCTCGTAAGTATATTTATCTCCTTTTTATGTATGGCACCCCTAATATCAGCTTTTACCGATAGTATACTCTAGAAAGTATAATCTGCATAACCATTCTCTAAAATTATATATCCCTAACAAAATTATTATGTATATAATATAAGCAATCAGCTTACTCTAGTACTGAACGTTGTAGACATAACATTCTCAAGTATAAGCGTGGTGGAGGGTAGAAATACGTTGCAAGACGATGAGGCCATCTCGCATGTGAAACCTTCTCTGCATGTTGTGCAGCCGCAAAAAGCTCCATGCGCTGACTGCACTTGGCCATGTGATCCTCTTGTTGTTGAGGGAGGAGGATGTATATGCCGCTGCTAATCTTTTTATTCAGTTGAATATATTCGTCATAATGTAATTGGACACTCCATCAAATAAATAAAAAATGATATATATATATATTTATTATTGATAATAAATTCGTTAATCTCAATCGTATAAGAAGATAAGAAAATCATCATGAAACGTTCAGTTAACCAAATGGCTTCGATTTCGAGAATATAGTATTAAAACATTAGGATGTGAGAATCTCAATCTCGATTATATCGGTGTAATCGAGATTATATAAATTTAGAGCACCAGCAAGTTTCTTATATGAATCTCTCAACAGAAAATTAATATTAATAAATAGTAAATATATATTTTATAAGAAATTAGATAATAACTTGCGCTATGCAGCACATTATAAGAAATCTATAAATAATTTTATTAATTATGATTTTAAAATTATTTAAATGAAATTATATAATTATTCTTTTGTACATATAATAGATATGAATAAGAATAATATTTGTTTATAAAATTTTAATATTATTTTTTAGATGAATGTAATTACATGTGTAATTCTAACCTGTAAAAACTATAGTCGCAAAAAAATCAATATTTAAAAAATACAAATGATTTTATCAGTATCTTCTCCATTAGCTTCTGTAAAAACTATAGTCGCAAAAAAATCAATATTTAAAAAATGCAAATGGTTTTATCAATATCTTCTCCATTAGCTCAGTTTTGCAAGGTGTGAAAGACTTTTCAGTATTTAAAGTATTTATACATTATCAAAACACAATGTGAGAAATGTAATATATAGTTTCTTCTCCTTCTTTTTTTTTTCTTGTTACTGGAAAACGTAATAGTTGCAAGCAAACGAATTAACAACATACAACTTTACAAAGTCCCAATTGTAACAATTTGTGAAAAAAATTTTTGATAATGTGTTTTTGTCATCGAAAAGAAAGATTTATAACTTTTTTTTATTAAATAAAGAAGAAAGAAAGTAATTGGACGTCCAGAGTGGCGGGCTGATCAAAGCTAAGTTAACTGCTACCAAGAGCCAAGGAATCTGAGACTTCTTCTTCTTCTCCCCAACGACCAAATCTCACGTTCATCAAAATTTCACACCTTTTGATTTACGCGCTTAATTTTGGTTCTTCTTCAAAGTTTCCCCTTTTGAAAATTCATCGTCTCAGTAACCTCTTTAATTGTCCTGGGTTTTTTTCTCTGTAATAGCATCTGATTCGAATTTTAAGCATTTTCGATTCGATCCAACGAGTTTCCCAATTAGGATTTTGATTCCCTTTCTTATTCATCTTTTTCTAGTCAAATCTGAAGACTTAGTTGGTTTCATTGCGCTGAGAGAAGCTTCGTCGGCAAGTAGAATCTTCTCCCCTTTGAATCAATTTTTATTTCTATATTTCCTCTTTCTGGGTTTTATATTCTTTGCCAACAATGTTCAAGCTTGCAAAGCATATATGCCTTTGAGTAGCTTTTGCTCCCCACGAAATTTGATATCCAAGAGAGATAAAAATGGGATCGAATTGTGATGGGAGTTTGAAACCCGAGATTGAAGAATCCAATGGTTCTGGGAAAAAAACTAGGGTTCTTAGTCCTCTCGATGTTTCAACATCTCGAAAAACTCTGATCGGTGCTGGTAAACCCAAGAGTTGGTCGTTTAGTCTTCCTGATGCCTCCAGTAAAGTAAACCTTCTGAAACTGGACTCTCCTTCTGTGAAGTTCATGAAAATGGCGGAGCAGAGAGACGAGGTTTCAAGGTCAGTGAAGAGCAGCTCATCGAGCAGCCATAACTTCCGGGAGAGAATCAGCGGCGTGCTTCACCGGAAAATCGATTGGAGCTCTCTGATGCATATGGGGAAACAATGGATTAAGAACCCAATCAACATGGCTCTCTTCGTGTGGATACTCGTTGTAGCAGTCTCTGGTGCGATACTCTTCATGGTGATGACTGGTATGTTGAATCACGCTTTGCCCAAGAAGTCACAGAGAGATGCTTGGTTTGAAGTTAACAACCAGATCCTTAATGGGTTGTTCACTTTGATGTGTCTTTATCAGCATCCGAAGCGCTTTTATTACTTGGTGCTTCTCTGTAGATGGAAGCACGACGATATCACGAAGCTTAGGAAAGTGTATTGCAAGAACGGGACGTACAAGCCGCATGAGTGGATGCACATTATGGTCGTCGTCCTCTTGCTTCACTTGAACTGTTTTGCTCAGTACGCGCTTTGTGGTCTTAACGTTGGGTTCAGAAGATCAGAGAGGCCTCCCATTGGAGTCGCTATATGCATCTCTGCTGCGATTGGAGCTCCTGCAGCTGCGAGTTTGTACGCTATGCTTAGTCCACTTGGGAAAGACTACGATGATGATTCGAGTGTGGACGAGGAGAATCAACTGCAGCGTGAAGAAGGAGGGTCTGTGAACCGCCGGGTTACTTTAGAGAGGAGGTATTCGTTTGCTTCTACCTCTGCTTCCACTGGTGATGCGATGGTTCCAGTGAGTGATCCTCAGTGGAGCGGTGGGATTTTGGATATATGGGACGATATTTCGTTGGCTTACCTATCTCTTTTCTGCACTTCCTGCGTCTTTGGATGGAACATGGAGAGAGTTGGGTTTGGGAACATGTATGTTCACATAGCGACTTTCATTCTCTTTTGTTTGGCTCCGTTCTTTATATTCAACTTGGCTGCGGTTAACATCGATAATGAGACGGTGAGGGAGGCGCTAGGGATATCTGGAATCCTACTTTGTTTGTTTGGTTTGCTCTATGGTGGATTCTGGAGGATTCAGATGAGGAAGAGATTCAAGTTGCCGAGTTATAAGTTCTGCTTCGGGAGAGAAGCGATCGCTGATTGTACGCTCTGGCTGTTCTGCTGCTGGTGCTCTTTAGCGCAAGAAGTTCGGACTGCGAACTCTTATGATATAGTGGAAGACAAATTCTGCCAAAGAGCGCAAGAGAAGAGTTTGGTATCTCCTTTGCCTCGTGAAGAAGGTTTGTTTGATCCTAGGTTTGGTCTCGGGAGCTCTCCGAAGAACATGAGCGGTGCTAATTCTCCTAGCCCGAGCAGGTTTTGGAAAGAGGTACATAGTCCAAATGTACAGACCCCTAGAGAGAAAGATGAAAGTAGAACCGAGGTTGTTCTGACTCCACCTTCTCCTCTGTCTATACACAGAGAGGCTTGATTTGAGAACAGCCATGGAATCCGAATCCGCTGGTGATTATTATTCTCCTTACTTTTCTATGGAGGTTTTGTATGAATTTGATTTTGGGAAACTTTTGAATACAAAAGGCCTCTTTGATTGTTTCCCGGTTTCTTCTGTAATGTGTATAAGTTTGTCTGTCATGTTTCAGTATGACTTTTGTGTGTGGCTTTCGCTTGCAGGCTTTGCTTTTACTTACCGATGTCTTCTTCTAGAAATGCCGGTTAATTCATGAGTTAGCCAAGGTAAATTAGTAAAAGAATCTGAGATGGATTTCTCAAATGAACCATGTGAGATAGCATTATGATAGTCATGCTTCATTTTTCGGCCCAGTATTTTAAGCCCAGATATTGTCTAGTTTAGTATTAGGCTTTGATGTTTGGGCTCAGGATTTAGATTAAATATTCATAGTTTTGATTTCTTTTGTATTGGTAAACGAGGAGCATAACAAAAAGCAAAAACAAAATCAAACTGAATCGAATTAAAAAAAAAAAACAACGAATGCTCGTTTCTGATTTTGGCGTTCCAACAATTTATAATGGAATTACATAAGGGATTTGACATATCTATTTAGAGTATAGCCTTCAAATTACTTTTAATACCGGTAATGGTAATGGTGTTTTGCATCTGCTTTTTAAGAGATTGATTCCATAAACTTTAACAAATTATATAAAAATATCACAAATTGTCATTTTAGACTAAGTTCACTATCATTATGCAATTTAGGAATTTGGCGTCGCTGTCAGAAGAGTTATTTTCGTGGAGAACCGCTTCAGAGTCAGAGATCCACTAATGTATAGTTTATTTGTTTGTGTAATCAGCTTTTATAGTTTCTTTCTTGTGTAATCAACTTGTTGTCAATTTTGAGTTTTCTATTTTTAAAGCTTGTCTCTTTTCCCCCTTATTTAAACTCTTATGAAACTTATAAAAAAACAATAACGTACCTACTGATACAGTTATATCTTATGTCTATTTCTGGTCGACATAACTTATACTTATACTAGCATCTTATGTCTATTTCCTAGCTAAACTAAAATTTTTTGCATTGCAATTTAATATTTAGACAAGCAATTAATGTATTTCACCAGTGTAAGTTTTAATTTCATCATTGCATAAATTTATTCAAAATTTATACTGCTATATAATAAGGTTATGTATATTGTATAATGCCCTTTTTATTTTTAGAAAAATACGTATTACTCTATGGAATCGAACGTGTCATGGTCACATACAAGATTGGACATAGCTGGCCACTCTAGTGTACGTGGACTCTCTACACGACACGTGTCAAGACGAGCGTGCATTATTATACTGCCTTTCAAACTTCTGTAATTGGTTGGCGGGACCAACAACATACTCGACACTCGTTGAACACGTTTCGTTGCATATTTCTTAATTACTTTACTAATCATTTACTAGAGAATATTAATAATGATTTTGCTAACAATGCATCATGTGCAACCGTTGTTATATATGAACAGAAATAAATTAGACGAAAAAAAACAAAATAAATGCGTAGATAATTTATCAAGAACTAAGTTTGGGTTAAATAGATTCCTTCTCAAATGAAACAAAGTCGGATAATTAGTTACCCACTAGCAAATTCAATTAACCAATTAAATATTCACCTAATACGACGGTGGGGTCACACATTAGCTGGCTCAACTTATAAAGAACTTTATCTATGGGTCCCACAAACCGGATTTACCGAATAACAAAAGGACACGTGTAAACGCAAACCAATAAATCCGAAAGCCTCAAAAATAGGACGGGATGTACAGAATCAAATCCTAATCCCATAGCCTGCGGCTATATAAATCCCAGATTACTCACGGATTTTGAAAAACCGAAGAATCATTTTCTTCTTCTTCTTCTCCTAATCCACCTTTTGTTTTTTTTTCACGTTTTATTTTAGATTCCAGAAATTCTCCAAGAACTGGATACTCTGGCGGATTCTGAGACCAAGAACCGAGACGTGGTTCTGAAACTGTATGACTCCCTGAGGTCTCGAGACGTAGAATCTGTGCACCGGATCTTAACCCCAGATCTGGAGTACTGGTTTCACGGTCCTCCGCCGCACCAGTTTTTGATGCGCATCCTCACCGGAGTCTCTCCGCCTTTCGAATTCGTGCCGCTCTCCGTCGTCTCTTTCGGATCGACCGTAATCGCCGAGGGCTGCGACGCCGCTAGCTCCATCTCCTGGATCCACGCCTGGACCGTAGCGCATGGGATAATCACCCAGGTGAGGGAGTACTCGAACACTTCTCTCACCGTCACACGGGTCGGTAACGTCGTCGCCGGACGCTCCGCTGAGATTGCTCGGTCGTATTGCCCCTCCGTGTGGGAAAGCCAATTCTCGGGTCGGGCTGGAAAATCCGTCCCGGGTCTGGTTCTGGCGATTTGAGGATTTGGTAAAGTAACAGCCACGTCAGGGAATAACTAAATAAAGGCTGCTTACGTGTCGGTGTCTGGTTGGTTTTCTGTTTATGGGTTGAAAGAGGATTTGTGCGGTAGAAACGCGGTGTGGGCTATCGGCTAAGGCCGCGCGTTTTGGCTGTCGCTAGTTCTTCTTTTGTTGGATTTTCATTTGTTTCATTTTGCTTGAAATCGTGCTTTTGTGTTTTAGTGGGTGTACACAAGCATGGGGGAACCCAAATTGTCTTGTGCCATTGCGTCTGATGTAACGTTTGGTTATGTTATTGATATAAAAAAGTGCTTTTGGGATCTTAATGATATTCGTTTAAACGTTTTTATAGTACGAGAAGCTCTGCATATGTTAAAACTTGTTAAATATTCTAAAAAGAATTTGATTGAAAATATTAGAACTAATCCCACTTGATAATGTATCTCTCATTTGTTCATGGTTTTACTTGGATAGAGAATTTATATCAGAAGCACAGAGTATCAATAACTAATTCCACGTAGATTGTTTTTATCCTCCATTATAAATCAACTCATTCAACAACACACATTTTTTTTTTTTTTGATGAAAAACAAATATAAAGATTTATTAAATGTAATGGTAGACGCAAACAAAAAAAAAAAGTTAAATTAGAAAGAGAAAGATTGGGAGTGGGAAGCAACGAGGAAGGTCAGTTGTGCGTCTTTTTGTGGATGTGGACACGCCATTATCAATCTTTCGGCGTCGTTTGGTGAAAATGGTGTGACGAATAGAACGTTATTAACAGAACTAATTATTAAAAAAAAACAATAATTCATCGAAAGAGATAAAACCCAAGAAAAGTATTCATGGGCGTATTTTATATTCCTTTTTTTTTAATTTAATGGTGATGGCAAATGAAAATAGTGACATTCATTGAAACTAGATGTGTTTGCGATAATGTCCCATGCCCAAAATATATATAAATGATTTATCTACTTCAAAGACTCAGTTTCTATTAAAACGGCAATTCCACGTCAACTAATTATTATAGATTCATATAAGGGATGGAGAAGTTATATGTATCAGTTCGGTCTAAAGAATATATACAAGTGATCAAAATGATTCAGATGTAGACAAACCTCAATGTACAAAAAAGAAAGTCAACAGTATACAATCTTGATATTGATGTGTAATTACAAATTTTACAACCCATTTTCGGATCTTATTTTTAACGAAATGTAATAAATAAGAAAACCGGCTTAGGTAAGTAAAAGTCTTCTCTAGCGTAGATTGGACGTATCATCTGCGATTACAAGTAACGCAACGACAAATGCGAAATCGACATATGGACTAACTCTCACTTTGAAGCTGTAACTCCCTATTATAAGTCCTCCCCATGAGAAATCATGAACCACCTGTAGAAGTGATTAAGAGCTTGTTTATCCATTTGATAACAGCTAAAGCGTGACATAATCTATTAATGATCGAATAGATTTAGTCTCGGCAAGAAGTTAAATAGTGATGTACCTCAGCAAGAAGAGTGTTATGAATTGGTTCAAAGAGTTTGAAAGAAGAACCGATGTAGCGACCATATGTTCGAAAGTCTGGCTCGAGACTAGTAATGTCCGTAGAAGATTGTTGTGGCGGTAAAGAGACATCAAGTGATGTTTTGAAGGAGAACATATTTGGTTCCCTTACTGAGAAAAGAAGATCCTCGGACTCTGTGGTTTCTCCTTTGTACACTTCCCATTTGTATCTCATTTTTACAATTCCCTGAAACATGATACGTTTCTTCCATTACAAAAACCCAAGTCTTTTAATTCGTTATATCTTTTGTAACATGTAGAACTCAATTGGCCGTGAGATATGGAATCAATTTCTTCTTTAGAGGAAACCATGAATCAGAGACTATGTTTAGGGTGTCAGATCAAATTTCAGTTATTTTTACGTTTAACGATAAAAAAAAAAACTAAAGTTTAGTTAATCTTTCTACGGAGAATATGTACTAATTAATCGGATGTGTTTTGTTCAAATTAAATGTACCAGACACTTTTACATTACATGTAAAATAAATAAAAAACTATTAAAATTAGGACGAAGAAAGTTGGCAAGAAAATTTGGTTTTATTAGGCCGTTTAACACCATTCAGCCGGTCTAATGACATCTACCGATTTTCTATAATTTGAATTTAGGCATTACTAAAGTCATACACCTTGTCTTGATAGTTGAAAAAATGGGTTATAGATGGAAAAAAAAATTAGATTATGCAATCAAATTTCATTAAAAAGATATTTGAATTCACTTCGAAAAAGGTTCTATATACGCATTTTCTAAAGTTGGCATCAAAACCGAACCAAATTCAATAATTCATATATACATAATAACATGTGATGATTCCTCTATGATACAATTAAATGATTGAGTAGAAATATAATTAACGAGGTATGTGTGTGACCTTGGTGCGCATAGAGAGAAGAGGAACTCCGGTAGCGTCACGGAGGACACGTTTACGGCGGATGTTCCATATGCCACCGTCGATGGTGAAGATGAGATTGTCGGAGAGATCGAAAACGTCGTAACGATCCCTTCTCAGGCTCTCACGCTGCCTTCTCACCACTAGCTCCGTCGTGTACGGATTGCAAAACATCTCTCCCACAACACTGACCATTTTTTTCAAAGATTCTTTTGAACAAGTCTGATACAAAGAAAACTAAGATGGTTTCTTCTATATATCAAAGGATCGCATTCTACTTGATTTTTACACGATCTTTAGTTATTAAAATAAATAAAGAAAAAGAAAAGTAGAGTTTAAAGTCGATTTGACGCGGTTCTTAACATTGCTTGAGGAAGGAAAAAAATGATTATTCATTTACTCTTTAAAGTGGTATCTCTTGGGTTATGGATGTGACACGAAGTTATAATTTGTATTTTAGTAAGCTTCTTGATTTTGTCCAAGTCCAACTGTCCAAAGTCAATTTTCTTCATTGACTAAGATAAAAGAGATACAAATATTCTTTTTGGCCTTAAATACTTCTGACGATCAATAAATTAGTTGCATTTGCATACATTGTTGTGATTTGTGAACTTATATGTTTGGTAACTTTGGTTAGTCTGTGCTTTTGCTTCTCCACTATGTCTGCTTTTTTTCCATTTTGCGTCAAGAATTGTGTTCCAAAAACTCTCTTTCTTGATGACATAAAAAGAAAACAAACACAGCAAACTGTTTTTGCTATTTAAAATCAGAATTGTATCTAAACAATGCTCAAAGTAAACGAAATTTTAAAATCGAAACTAAAACATATATTTAGGAAATCATAGTTTTAAATTCGAAATGACGGACAACGTGCGTGGCCATTTCCAGAGCTGTGCTAGGAATTTTTTATGCCATAGGCAAAGCAAAAAATGCCTTTTTTTTTATCAATTTATAATATAATAAGAAATTTAGAAAAAGAATCACCAATTTTTGTTTTTGATAACATAGGCTAAAGTGAATATGCGGTTAAAGAAATACGTGGTTCAGATAAATAATTAAAACAAGCGATTATGATTCTATGATTTATATACATCCACAACTACCTTTTTTCAAACCGGCGGTTGTACCCAATATTTTAACCTCTTTTCTTACTGTTCGGGATTTTTATCATCTATTGTTAATTGTTCATTTGAAAATAAGAAAAAACATTATTCATTTAAAACTTCTAGTGTAACAAAAAAGATGTAAAAAACAATTTTAATTGAGGCTATTAAATGAAAAATGATAGTAATTTTGAATTTTTTACCCCAAAAAATTAACAACTAATATTACTATTCCTTTTTGTTTTTTAGTGAAGGAATCATAACAAAATCTCTACTTTATTAACCCAGAGCATTGACGTGATGGCCGTGCAACTGCAACGTCTCCTGCAATCGCCGATTTAAAATACCGAAACAACCCTTTACACTTTCCATTCTAGTATCGAAGCCCAAAACCCCATAAGGGTAAAATCGTCTCATAAATATTTCTTTTTCGCGCTTCATCCATTTTTTTCCTTTGCCTCGGAAAAATTGCAGCGTTTCTGCTCTATCAGTCTAGTACCCTCTTTAACCCTCTCATCACACACACTAACCCCTTCCCGGCGAAATCAAAGAACCCTAAAATTCTTCCCTCGTCTCATGCATTTCGCGACTGAAATTTGCAGGAATCCGTGTCTCTGAAGATCCCGGACGCTGTGTTCTTCTCTCTCTCTCTCTCTTTGGATCGTTTCAGACTTTCAGGTAAAAGAGATTCCTCTTAATCCATCAGATCTGTTCTATGAAATTTCTTTCTGCTTAGTACGAGAAATTTCTCTCACGTTTGCTCTGTTTCCTCTAATCTTGTTAAAAAACCTTCGATTTTAACTTCAGTAGAGAGCACAGATTTCATCATTTTGTTCTTCGCTAATCACGAATTGTTTTTAGGTTTAGTGTTGTTAGCACTGTCCCAAAGTGCAAATTCCTCGTGCTTATAGTTTTCTGGAAGCGATTGATTTAGGGATTAAGCGCATATCGCTTGATGATTTTTCGGGATTAAACTCAATATCATTTTTGCTGCTTCTGATAAGCCTACGAATAACTTTCGATTTTTTCTGTTTCCGTGAGAAGCAATGGGTGCAGGAAGGAAGACAGAGACGTACACACTGGCTCACGATAGCCAAAACCTGCATGGAACCATGTGGGTGAGGAATCTCAAGAAGGGAGATCTCTGCGGGGTGATCTTCGGATGCAAGTTCAGCACTATCAAAGAGTGCTACGGGAAGAAGCTGTTCGGTTTACCAGCCCCTCACATGGCGTACATCAAGAACATCGATCCAGGATTGACCTTGTTCTTGTTCAACTACAGTGATCGAACGCTTCATGGCATCTTCGAAGCTACAAGCGAAGGAAAGCTCAACATTGATCCCAAAGCTTGGTCTCCAGACGGGACGGATCCGAGTCCATACCCTGCTCAGGTATAAAACACTTTCCTTTTAGTTGTTTCACCCAAATGTAATCCAAAACCGAAATGTATTCTGTTCTGAAAACGTTTTTTTTTCTCATAGGTAAAGATTAAAGTGCGCATGCGGTGTGAGCCATTGGCTGAAGAACAGTTTCGTCCAATAATTGCTGATAATTACAAGGATGAGAAGATGTTTTGGTTTGAACTAGACCGAGGTCAGACCAACAAGCTGCTCCGTTTGTTTTCACCATCACCGTCTGTAAAGGCACCGTCAACATCCAAATATGCTGCATCACCGTCCAAAAAGGCGGCGATTCCGGCATCTTCTCTTGTGGAGATAGGCGACGTGGGAGCAACGCGTGTTGATAAATGGAGCAGTCTTTTCAAATCTTCAGATGATTCGAGTGAAAACAACGGGAAAGACTCAAAAGAAGACCCACACGGAGCAGGTTCAAGAGTCGCCAATCCTGGAAAAGCGAGAGGATGGGAAGTAGCAACCAGTAGTAATGCGGATGAGCGAGTAGCTCAAAAACCAGTGTCACAGTCTGGCGCATCTTACTCATCAGTTACCAGAAACATGGCTGAACATTCAACTCTGGAAAAGAAATCTCGTTCGACTAATGAAGTTCCATCTCAAGCAAGTAAAAGGGTTGAAAATTCTTGGTCATCTGCTTCTCGAGTACAGTCTTTACGCCAAGACAGTGGTGAATTCAGAGATACTTCCAAGGAAGGGGAAGATGTCAAAATGAATGCTTATCATCAACAAAACCTGCATCCAACACAAAAGGAAGATTATGCTGAGGACACGTATTCAGAATTCGATTGGGATGCTTCATCAGCCTTTAAAGTTCATCTGGATGGACTGAACAAAATGTTGGAGGATCCTACGGATAAGGGAGGTTTCAATGGATGTGAAGGTAACATGGGATTCGCTTCTTCTTCTATGGTTCCCAGTCGTTGGGAAGATGAGAAGGCTCCTTGGGACTTTGATGAAGGGAACATAGATAAATCGCCGTGTGGGTCCTCGTATGTTTCCGCCTTGACAGGAGACGCACTTGAGGACAATGGAGAAGACAAAGAGAAGCATCTTATGGATAAATTCAAGATGGAAATGGAATCCTCCACTTTCGTGAATATCTTGAATGAGGTAAGTTGTGGTCTATAGGTTGTGGTCATCCATTGTTCTCTGAAGTATGGAAAACAAGTTTACATATGAATATCTTTTTCTCTGCTAGATATTGGCGGAAGTGAAAGAATTGAAGCTAGCTCAGATGAAACAAGCTGAGTATATGATTTCTTTGGAGATGGAGCTGGTAAAAAACACTTACAACTCGCAAATTGTTATTTTTTTTTTCTTCTCCTGAGCTTTAAATACAAATTCTCAGTCTTTTTGTTTGGGTTTGTTGCAGCTTGATTCAAGAAAAGAGATACTTAAACTGAAAGGGCGACTTGCAGGTTCCTAAGCATATGATAACAAGGAGTAAAAACAAAACTCATGGAGTTTGCAATTTCCTCTACCTACTTCTTTCTTTATGTTTTGATAAAACTGGGTCCAAAAGTTTGAATCTGTTTGCTACAAAATGATGATTAGTTTGTTGAAAGCTTGTAGTTGACTCTCTTGTTGTGAATCGTTTTGACTTTGGTATGCTTTCAACTTTCAAGTATGCACTGCAAAATGCTTATTAGGGAGCAGAATGTTTGGTCCAGGGCTTAAATTGACCGTTAGAGTTTACAGGTACTCAACTGTTTCCACTAAAGGATAGTATATAAAAGCTGGTTTAACAATTTCGGTCGGTTTAATCCCTGGTGCAATATGGATCTGTCTCTATGTTACCATATGTTTAATTTTTTTCGGATAGTCCATATACACGATATAGGCCTTAAAAGATGGGGCCGTTAATAGCTTAAGCCCAACAAGCTTTTGAAGTACGCAGGCAATTACATAAATGCTGTCAAGCCTGTCATCATCGTGAGGCCGATGACCGTAACAACATTAAAGAAGCACTTAGTCACTACGTATCATACGCAAACGGACATGTAGAATTGTATCATTGTAACATTCTAGTATGCTGCAAATACTACTTTCCTTTTTGCCACTGCAAATAAAAGAATCTATAATTTTTAAGTGACTTTTTTATTTATTTTAATTTCAAGTACTTCGAATCCAATTAATTTGTTAATTCTTTACATGTACCATAATTTTATTTTCTATATAACTTTAAAAGATAATTTTGTTAGTAAAATCATATATTAAATATTTTAAACGATTTGAACTTTTCTTTGTCAAATTATTAATTGAATTAAATACATATGTCTTTTGTGTGTGTTTATCAACTATGGTAAGGATTCAATTGCTTACCCGTATCAAGAGCGTGTTTTTGGTGGTGGGGATTAAGACACGTGTCAATCAAGTGGGACGTCTACGGTCCAGCATTCGAATTAGTGAGTGACATGTCACTACTCTCTCTCATAAAATATCAGAATTATCCAGAGAAGGTTTATAAATACCCATCGACCCCTCGGGTTTCAGAGAGATTTGGATTATTTTGAAAAAGTTAAATCTGTAGAGGAAATAAAGAAAAAGAAAGAGAGACGCGAAACATTCCGAAGAAGATACACATCAATCGTTAAACGCAAAAGAACAGGAACAACTAAGAGGGATCAGCGATTGTTGCCCACTGAAGTAGAGATTCGACTCAGTTTCTGGAGTTATCGATCCAATTAGGTATGTCGATTTACGATTTTCTTTGTGGGTTTAGCTAATTCGCCGATTTTGCTCTGAAAATCTTTTCCAAGGGTTTGAGCTAATGATTCTTGGATCATAGATGTTGTTGACTTGTGATCACTGATCTCTGAAAATTTTCTCGTCTCAAGGTTTCGCTATTTCTGAAGGAAAAAATTTGGGGATTTTTTTTTATTTTTAATTTTAGGTATTTCTTTTACACGTTTTTTTAAACTGTGGGTGGCTTTTACAATCCATCGTTCACTAGCTTTGTCCCCACGATTCGGAAAAAAAAAATGGAAACATGATTTTAACTTTTCCTTTTCTAATTAAAGAAAAACTTGGTGGGCAAGGAAAACATCCTTTATAAATTCACTGCGCGATTCGTTAATTTTTCTGATTTCTGGGAATCGATTACTTCCCAAGTTCCTTTGTCTTTGAGACTCGAGAGAGTTTTCTGAGTCAAAGTTTTTTCTTTTAGGTCACTTGTAGATTCTTTGATCGACCGCGACTAGTAAGAAGATGGCCATATATGATCAAACCGGAACCGATGGATCGAAGAAAAGGAAATCGAGGGCTCGAGCAGACGGTTTAACGGTGGCTGATAGGTTAAAGAAGTGGAAAGAGTACAACGAGATTGTCGAGGCTTCTTCGTCCGTACAAGAAGGAGAGAAGCCGAGGCGGAAAGTTCCTGCAAAAGGGTCGAAGAAAGGTTGTATGAAAGGTAAAGGAGGACCGGAGAATTCTCACTGTATTTTCAGAGGAGTTAGACAGAGGATCTGGGGTAAATGGGTTGCAGAGATTCGGGAACCTAATAGAGGAAGTAGGCTTTGGCTTGGCACGTTTCCTACCGCGGAAGAAGCTGCGTCTGCTTATGATGAAGCGGCAAGGGTTATGTATGGTTCATTGGCTCGTCTAAACTTCCCTCAGTGTGCTGTTGCCTCCTCTGAGTTTACTAGTACATCGTGTCAGTCTGAGGTGTGTACTGCTGTTGAGGATAAGGCGGTTCTTGCCGGTGATGTTTGCGTGAAGCAAGAAAATGCTGATTGTGAATCTGAACCGTTTAGTCGGACATTAGATGTTAAGGAAGAGCCTTGCGGTGAAACCAGGCCGGAAAACTGCGCGGATGAACATCGAGATGCGAACGATATGCTGAATTACGATTGGCTGACTGAGTTTGAGCAGCAGTATTGGAAGGGAATATCGAAGGAGAAAGAGAAACTGAAGCAGGAAGAAGAAGAAGGAGTGATACAGCAACAACAACAGCAGCCGCGGCAGCAGACGGAGCCGGATTCGCTTACTGTTGCGGATTATGGTTGGAATAACGATATGGATAACGATCAGGGCTTTTGGGATTCTCATGAATTTTTTGATGTTGACGAATTCCTTGGCGACATAGATGGAAGCATTGTGACTGGTCCCTGTCCGAACCAAGACCAAAACCAGATACAGCCTAGTGGTTATGATTCGCGACCGCTTCAGCTCGAGCCACATGATGGTCACGAATTCTTCGACTTGAGTTCTCTGGATCTTTGAGAGTTTTGAGTCAATAGGTGGTCCGCAACAGAATCTCTGGCTTTGATCGTAGCAGAAACAAGGAATGGGATGATCTGAATTCACGATGAAGAATATAGCAAACTATGCAGTCTTTACTTTTTCCTTGGATCATGTAGTCTTGAATGTCATCTATTGAGTTTTATATAGAGAACAGGAGAGGGAACTCTTTTGGTCCTTTTCGTATAATAAGAATGTAGTTACATAATTAATTAACAGAGAAATAACCATAATTTACAACAATTACAGTTAAACGAATCAAGGATAAAATAATTTAGCAAAGAGAAGCTCGTTCCAAGTATCTTGAAGACCTGGTAAGCACCAATGTATACAGTCTGAGTAGCTAGCCGGATTGGCTAGCTGCTCCTTCGTCAATGGGCTCCATTGCTTCTTGTATATCGACGTGTGCGCGTCTTTCCGGTAGCCTGAGAGTTGTGTAATGTTCAGTACCGTCACCGGAAAATCCTTGTTCCGGTCTAATTCCTCTCCGATCACTTTCATTAACGTTTTGCTGCAGTCTGATGGCCAATGCTCCATGTCTTGGATCGGTGTCGTTTGATTGTAACAGTTATTCCCTTGCTCGCCTCCCCAATCCTCGCCCCTGATCATGAAAAAAGGAAAAAAAAGATGAAACCTTTGCATTCAAAATCGAAGCTTTGTTACTTTTATCACATTGTTACGTGTTATGAGATCATCTTAATAAAGTTACTGACTTGTAATGAGTAGGGGACATGGTAGCAAAGAAAACCCTCGTCTTCAATGGATCCATATTCTTCTTCACCCATTTAACCATTGTCTTCAGCGCCATCCGATAAGCATCCTCGCTCTCCATCTCAACAATTCTCTTCTTCTCATCCTTGAATGAACCTTCCCTTCAAATAAACAAATTTAAGAAACGATATCAAACCACCTATAGTTAAGAAACAATGTAAGTGCCATTAGTACGTACAAGATCTTCATCTTGAAGCCAGTCCTCCACCACAGGTATGTGTTGAAGACGACAATATCAGCGCCTCGCCAGTGCCTGCCGTGTTTGTTGATCGAGTCTTTCCTCACAATCCGATCTGATACTCTATGCACTGTGGCGTTATCTGAATTCGACTCTAGAAGAAACGGTGCCCAATAGAACTCGATCGTTGCGTTGTAATCCTACAACATGTTTCTAATCAGAATCCTCTTTAACTCCATTGTGTATCATCATATTTCTACAGAGCAACTCTCAAGGCTTTCTAAATCTGAACGAGAATTCTAAGTACAAGTGTTAGTTGTTTGATTCCAAGTACCTTGAGGGAGAAGACGGTGAGGGATCCAAAGGTATCCATGGATTTGGAAGTTTCTGGGATCTGTGAATGAAGAAGACAGATCAAAGAAACGTACATTCCTCTGTTCAACGAATCTCCAACAAACATCATCTTCTTCCCTCTTAAGCTCTCCAGCATCATCGTCGCATTAAACCTAACACACTCAAAGCAACCCAATGTGAAGATCAGTCACCGAAATTGCCCTAATTGCGCTCGAAATCGGAATCTGACAGGAAGAGAAAACGAGAGAGTGAGCGAGAGAGAGAGACTAACGAGGGAAGCGTGCAGGAATCAGGCTGCCATCTCCATTTCTGATAATCGCTATCGGGACGTCCATGCGTGCGGCAAGTGAGCTGCGGCTGAATGTACGGACACTCGGATTCTCGGTAAAACGGCCGTGTTGACTCGTCTTTGACCCAATTCCCCTTGAACACATCGCATCCTTCCGGCGTCTTCCCCGCCGCAAAAGCCGGCGGTGGAAGAGAAGGCGGCGGAGGTGGTGGGGGATATAGCGGATGAGGAGATGGCGGTGGTGGAGACGGTGGCGGAGGCGGAGGAGGTTCGTCCACCACAACAACGATTGCGGATTGGTGTAGGATCGTCTGGGAGTGAAGGGATCGACGGGACAAAGAGACGAAATCTTGGCCGTAGATGAAGGCGGCGAGTAAGATGAATGCGAGTACGGTGTAGAAGAAGTGAGTGAGACGGCGTTTTCGACGGAGAGGCGAAGACGGTGATAACAGTGGCGACGTCATTTTGTTTTTTTTTCCTTTACTTTCTTCTTCTGTTTTATGGATTGTAAATGACAATTATTCGGTTTGATTAAAATTGAAATTTGGAGGGTAGCGAATGTTAGTAACTTTATCTAATTAATTAATGTTTGTATAAGCGTCGCATCTGCACGTTCCAAAACCAAACCCATGTTCTTGCCCATCATTCGTCACGACTGTTTATATTTAATTCAGATTTTCAGACTACAAAAGTTCTTGAACTTTATACAGATTAACAAAAAGAGAGATTAAAGACTGTTTTTTCCTTTTGGTCTTGTTAATGATTATTGTAAGCTTTTGTTTTCAAAAGAAAGAAAGTAACTTAAATTTTAGTGTTGTTTTGTAGACGTATTTGGTAAAAGTTTAAATAAAGTTGATCTATTGGGTTTTTCAACAAATATTGTCGGCAAGATGTAGGGTTCTATTTTGACATTTGAATTAAATCTTTAAGTGCCATTTACGTCACTTTTGCTTAGGAGTTGTGTGTTATTGGATTGATGATTTCAATGTATTCCTCATTTTGTTAATTGTTTCTCAAAACCATGCGAGTACTAAGAAAGCCAAACTCGAGTCAAGTTAATACCTTTCATAAGCTAAATTACACAATTGATCAACACAAAACCACTTCCCAAGTATATTTTTCTTTCACAACAATAATCACATGATCAATTATAACTACTGTTTAATGTGATGTTACAAAGCAAAGAGTAAGCAATATAAACTATATTTCATCTCTGATCCGAAAGAGAGAACACTTTGTGCTAATCACATTTTTGAAGGATCAGCAACATTAACTTTGTGTTCGAAGGCCTATAGACCCATATTATCCGACATCCGACCCAACGAAGAAGAATCCAGATTTTCGGCCCACATAAACATTTGCTTCCGTGCAAGCTAGTTTAAAAGTCACATAATTTTCATGTTGTGTTTTTCACTTGAAAAGAATGATAATTGATTAATTTCATATGTTATGTTTTTTTATTTGGCGTATGATTAAGGCAAAGAAGAATGGCGTAAAGAGAAAAGAATAAATGATACGAAGCCATTTTATGAAAAAAAAAGAACAAAGAAAATCGAAGCCATCGTCGTCTTCTTCCGTTGACCTCTCAAAAATGCGAGAGCTTCTTCGCGCCTATTTCTCTCGAAGAACTCTCGTAACTCTTTACAATCTCTTCTTAACCCTCTCCCGTAAGCTCCTCGCTTCATTCCCTCTCTCTCTCGTCATGCCCAAGTCCAACGACGGCGCCGTCGCGGAACCCGAGGCCGTTCCGTTGCTCGATCTCTCTAAGCCGTCGTCACCTATTTCCTTCCCGATCAAAGCTCTCCAAGACCTGAAATCGCGTTCCTACTTCGACTCATTTCATTTCCAGTTTAATCGCTCAACCGTCCCTCTCCGGCGAATCTCCGACGGTTCGCCGAATCGCCCAAGGGTTTTAGTCTGCCACGATATGAAAGGAGGGTACGTAGAGGACAAGTGGGTACAAGGGTGTGAAAACGACGCCGGATATGCGATTTGGCATTGGTACTTGATGGACATTTTTGTCTACTTCTCCCATTCTCTGGTCACTCTTCCTCCTCCTTGCTGGACCAATACTGCTCACAGGCATGGCGTTAAGGTAAGTGGCCTCAAAAAAAATTTGGTCTCTTCAACATCCGAATCTATTGCGCAATTCGATTTTAAGGGTGAAGTGTTGTACTTTCTTGTGTTTGTGGGAAAAAAAGGTATTGGGGACTTTCATCACAGAATGGGATGAAGGAAAAGCTACCTGCAAAGAGATGCTTGCCACGAAGGAGTCTGCTCAGATGTATGCAGAGCGCTTGGCAGAACTTGCCACTGCTCTAGGATTTGATGGGTGGCTTGTGAGTTTTTTTTTGTTTATCCTAGATTTTTCATGATTCTTTTGTTCATCTGCATTTGTCGATGTGAATTTTGTGATTATGGTGATTTGATTGTAACATATCTTGCATCGAAACTGTTACCTGCAGATAAATATAGAGAACGAAATAGATGAAGAACAGATTCCAAATCTGAAGGAATTCGTTAGCCATCTAACAAAAGTCTTGCATTTATCAGCACCTGGGGCTTTGGTTATATGGTGAGTTGTTCAGAAGTTTTTCTTTGTTCTTTTTTTTTTGTAAACCACTTTGATCTCATCTGATAACTTTTGTTTTTGCAGGTACGACAGTGTCACTGTTCGTGGCGAACTTAAGTGGCAAGATCAGCTGAATGAGAAGAACAAACCTTTCTTTGACTTATGTGATGGAATATTCATGAACTATACATGGAAGGTTTGATTTTTTGATTTGATCATGCTCTTCAGTCACGGTTTCTTCTATATATCTTGCCTGTAATATGAGTGGGGGATGATATTTCAGGAGGGCTACCCTAAACTATCAGCTGAAGTTGCTGGGGACAGAAAATATGATGTCTACATGGGAATTGATGTCTTCGGTCGGGGCTCCTTTGGTGATGGGCAATGGAATGTATGTCTCAGAAACTGCCTAATATTTGCTTATGTGAAACCAATAATCTGTACATAAAATTTCTCATCGTCTCTAAATTGACATGCTAGGTTAATACTGCTCTTGATTTGCTAAAGAGAAACAATGTCTCAGCTGCCATTTTTGCTCCCGGATGGGTATATGAGACTGCACAACCACCCAATTTTCATACGGCTCAGAATAAGTAATACTTCTTGTCCCTGTTTGATTGTAAAAGAAATTGCAATTTCTTGCTCGTCTTTAAATTTTGAGCTACCTATTTGAGTTTGAGCTTAAATATTTGCTGCAAAGGGATCTTATATACATTTATGTGCGTTTCTCTTCAGATGGTGGTCACTTGTCGAGAAGTCATGGGGAATAGTCCAGACTTATCCACAAGTCTTGCCTTTTTACTCAGATTTCAATCAGGTAAGGGGAGATTGACCAAATTAGGCATTCATTTTCATCGTTCTGATGTTCAGTTATGTTCTGAATTTCTCTTCTCTCTTTTATCTAGGGATTTGGTTACCATGTTTCACTCGAAGGTCGCCAAATGTCAAATGCTCCGTGGTATAACATTTCTAGCCAAAGTCTTCAGGTTCAACCATCTTACTTTCTTTGATGTTACTACACACAGCTAAAGCTTAGATGAACCAAAAACTTTCCCAGGCACAACACCATTATTGATCTTCTTGATCTGGGTTATATATCCTCTTATCTAATCTCTGTCTTTGTTGTGTTCTTCACGTCAGCCTCTTCTAGAATTCAGTGAAGACGACAGAGATATCATCCAGGTCACTGTTGAGTGAGTTTGGCCTACAACTTTCCATATTTATTTCGGCAAGGCCAAAAAAGATTTTTTTTTGTTTGGACATCTTGTTGATTAGCTTACATTTCTGAGCAAACACTTAAACGATAAGTACCATGAATTTGATAGTGCTCGAGAGGCATCTTATAACGGAGGAGGGAACATAGTTTTTAAAGGCATACTCGAAGGAGATACGCATTTCACAGCGAGGCTCTTCAAACCTCATCTTCCGCTCTCTTCTTCCCCAATCACAATCTCCTACTCTGTAAGTCTCTGCTTCTAGATACATCACATTATGAGATATTCTTGTTTTTGTTTTTACTAATGGAGGATTTGGAGGTGGTGCAGGTGAAATCAGATGTAACCTCTAAACTCGGAATCGTGCTTTGTTTCTCATCTCCATCACACGAGACCATGTCCATCCTCGTGGCGCCAGAAGAACCCATCCGCAGATTCAACGACATGTTCTTGCAGTGTCTCGCCACATCACAGCAGACTGTATCCGAGTGGACGGTACACGAAACAAGCCTTGTCATGGATGGCCACACACTGACTGAAATATCTGCCTTTTGCTACGGACCAGAGAACTCGACAAAGAGAACAGAATATGCTGCGTTACTCGGCCACATCTCAATCAAAGATCATGTTCAGCTCCAGCAAAAACCCGATTCATTACCTCCAGCGTCATTGTGGTTCATCGAGGCTCATAACATTGAGCTTGTACCGGGTAGCTCCGGTACCAAGATCCTCAGGGTAAAGCTAGAATGGAGACAGAAACACCTCGAAGATTCCGTGTTCCCAAGGTACAATGTGTATGCAGAGAATGTGAAGTCGACTGATCTAAGATCGAGGAAAGTTCTAGAGAAACCGAGAAGCGAGACAGTGTTCCTCGGAATCGCTCATGTACCGAACTTTTACGTATCAGAACTGGTGGTTGAGTCGGACGTGAAAGGAGTATGGTTCGTGGTTCAAGCCTGTGCTGAAGATGGTTCATGTGGGAAGCTGGATGACTCTCCTAAGCTTCTTCTGGAGCTGGAAGCTCTCTCGTCTAAGCATGTGTCGTAAGTTGCTTGACGCCAAAATCTGAAACTATGAAACGATCATTCTTGCAAATATGAAAATTTCGTCACTGAAAATATTTGTAAAGTCAGGTGCGATCTATCAAAGTATATAAGATAAGATAAAAACAAAATATAGATATTTTCATTACATTTTAAAATAAAGAAAACATCGCTTTCATAGGTTTTCTTATCATCTTACGTAAGATAATAATACACGACTCCTTAATTTGCTCAAAGGGCTGTTCTAGAGACACCACGCGTATGCCACAAGCCAGTTCCCGCCTTTCCACGTGTCATACGAACGAAAAACCACGTCATTCCCTCCCTACCCCATCGCGATCTCTTAAAACCTCTCTCTCTATATACCTTCTCGCCGTTCGCGCTATCTCCGACGTTTACAGAGAATTTCCTCTTCGTTGCTTTCTCTCTCTAGATCTTAATTCTTAAGAACCAAAATGTTGCTCAAGGCTTCTCCCGCGCTTTCTCTCTTCAGCTCCGGCGGCGGAGATCTGTTTCCTCCGTCCAGAAACCCGTCGAACCTTCTGATTTCCTCGAGCGCATGCCGTGGATCAATGTTTTCTGTTCGTGCGGCGAAAGGAACCAACACCAAGTCGTTGACAGGAGTTGTGTTCGAACCTTTTGAGGAAGTGAAGAAAGAAATGGATCTTGTTCCCTCTACCCCTCTGGTTTCTCTCGCTCGCCACAAGTTCGCCGATGATTCTGAATCTGCGATTAACGATCAGATCAAGTAAGCGCTCTTGTTTGCGTTTGGTTTAATCGGTCCCTGATTTTTCGAATCTCTTCTCCAGTGATCATCCCAAATCGAAATTTGGAGGAACCAGATTTATATTCAACTTAATCATTTCAGTGATCGATCATTTCTGAGTTTCTAATTTAATCTCTTTATCCTTTTCTGCTGATTATCAGCTTCGTCTAACTTGTCATGGTGTATCTGGTCTAAATTGCAATTGTATCTGAATATTGGCATCTTTTGTATTGTTTTTGTGAATCACAGTGTGGAATATAATGTCTCCTACATCTACCATGCCCTCTACGCTTACTTCGACAGAGACAATATCGGCTTGAAAGGTTTCGCCAAGTGAGTTTCTTTAGTCTACACAGAACCATATTTGTGTCTCCGGGTCCTTTCTGCGTGTGGATAATCTTTTTGTTGTTGTTTACCTGATAGGTTCTTTAACGATTCAAGTCTTGAAGAACGAGGTCATGCTGAGAAGTTTATGGAGTACCAGGTATAGTTACAAAATTCTATCTTTCAGGTTATGGACCAGATATAAGTGTTTTCTTGTGTTTGATGGATCGATATTCAGAACAAGCGTGGAGGGAAAGTGAAGCTGCAGTCAATTTTGATGCCCTTCTCTGAGTTTGATCACGAGGAGAAGGGAGATGCTTTGTATGGTAAGTTGATTCAAGAGTACTTATATATAGATCTTAGTAAGCCTCGTATTATACCGTTATGGTATTTCAAATACTATGATTCTGACTCTTTTTATGATACAGCTATGGAGCTTGCGCTGTCTCTAGAGAAACTTACAAATGAAAAGCTTCTGAAGTTGCAAAGTGTAATAATCATTGATCTTTTCTTCTGTTTTCTTTCATTATTAAAAGTACTAATACGGAGACTTAAAACTAAGGATCACAGTGTCGTAGAGCACACTTTCACAGTAAAACAGATGATTAATCTCTCTCTTGTGTTTGATCCTACAGGTGGGTGTGAAGAACCACGATGTTCAGCTGGTTGATTTTGTTGAATCCGAGTTTCTAGGCGAGCAGGTAAAGAAAAAGAAACACAAATTTTCACATTCTCACTACTTAAAAGTTTACGCGATCCTCATAAAAATCGGTAAAAATAGGTCGAAGCTATCAAGAAAATCTCAGACTACGTTGCACAGCTAAGAAGGATAGGAAAGGGTCACGGTAAGTCTTTAAAAACCCTAAAGATAATTCTTAAAACTGAGATTGCACTTTCTTTTTGGTGGTTAATTAATAATACCTTTCGGTGTGACAACAACTGCTGCAGGAGTTTGGCATTTTGATCAAATGCTTTTGCATGAGGAGGTTTAAGGAAGAAAGCTGCAGCTTTTGAAGATTCTGATATATGGTGACAGTCTTTTCCGTGTGATATACGGCACTTGTTCTGTGTCTATACACCGTCTCTATGTCTGATAGGGGATAACTGTTTGTTTATCTCTTTCTTTTCGTTGTTTTTTAACCGAATGCTTGAGAGTTGTGAGTGTTAATAATGTAAGTCGTAGTCTGAGAATAAATGCAAGTCCACTGCTTCAATGCGACTATGACCATAATTGAGTTTTCGTGTGACTGAAACAATTACTCCGAGTAATCTGTGATTTTTAATTCATAATACTGAATCCGGAAACTCCAGGGATTAGTATTTTTTCCGTTTTTATATGAAAAAATGGTTTAAATTTGGTTCAAATGCCACTTGTGCCATTAAAAGGCATCCCCTGAAAAGCTTCTTTGGGGGCACACAGTTGGTTTGCACAGATCATCACGTTCGTCTGATTCAACAGATGCCAATATTTTAGAGTAGTCTCCTTTGATGTGCCACCTCAGACTCATTATCCTTAATAATTAGAGAACCAATCCAACAAGATTTGGCTTCATCTCTGTTTCTGCTCTTCCCCTGCTCTTGGGACTAACAAAATCTATTGGATCACCAATAATTTGATGGCTTTCAAACATATATGATAAGAGGTGCTCTGTGAATCTCTGGTGAGTTCAGATTCTAAAGGGACGCTCATTTTCAGTTTTCATCTTCTCATAATAGATAGCATATGTTGGTAGAACAATTAAATTTTTTGGTCCATATACTGTTTGCTTCCATGGTTCTTAAGAGAGCCTCAGGATCCTCCACAAAGTCCATCTACTCTAAACCCATAACAAATCCAAACCGCTTTAAGCAAAATAGTTGGCGCAGACAATTTGAGTACTCATTCAATTTAGTGTCATACAAGAGAGCACTCAAAATCCAAAACATAGCCCTTTCTGATTACTTCCCTTGTACAAATCTATGCTAATCTCATGTTTTGTTCTACATCTTTCACATAGATCAGTAATGCCATAATCAGTGGAGCTTGTGGTCAAACAAGTAATAATCTCTATTATTCCAAAGAATACATGCAAAAAATGCTCCATCACTGTTTGTACCAAACGACATCGTTTTAGTGGAAATCTCTGAGCAATAGAGAGGGTTACATAGACGCTTGTGGACTTCTTCTGGTCGTCACAAATTGAATTCCTCGATTTGCCTAAAAACTCGACATCGGACTCTCAGCTGCTTTCTCTCTGTCCCCATGGCGAATCCGACGGAAAACCTCGACGCGAATCAACCAATCCGAGAACCAGAAGATGAAGTGGAAGAAGTCGAAGAACTGAACGGCGACGAAGAAGAAGAGGAAGAAGTGGAGGACGACGAAGATACCGTATCGAAATCTCAAACGCGCGATGGCCGATCCAGTGTGGACAGTACCAAGGTGGAATCTCTTTTCCGTCGGATGAGAGAATCTCCTGTGCCGGTGCGTGTGCACGACGTGATCGTCAAAGGAAACGAGAAGACCAAGGACCACATCATCGAGGCGGAGGTGGACGCTGTGAGAGAGGCGACCACGTTGCAGGAGATTCTCGTAGCCTCTAGGGTCGCCAATTCGAATCTCCAAGCGCTCGATATCTTCGATTCCGTCAACATCACGCTCGATTCTGGTCCTCCAGAGCTCCCTGGCACCACCAATGTGATCGTCGAAGTTGTCGAGAGCAAAAGCCCTCTCACCGGCCAAATCGGCGCCTACACTAGAGCTGGGGTATTCCTCTAATTGCATAAATTTCACTGCTTTGTTTCAAATTGAGTTTGTTTTATTCGAGTTTTAAGAGTTTGGATATGACTGTGATGCTCTTGTAGGCTAGATCATCAAGCGTTGAAGCGTCTTTGAAGTATAAGAACATTTTTGGGTATGGAGATATTTGGGACGGGTCTGTAGTTTATGGCTGTGACAACTCTGCTGAGGTTGGCATGGGGATGTATTTGCCAAGGTTCAGAGGACTCCCTTCTCCTTTTAGCTCCCGTCTTTTCCTTTCGACTCAAGACTGGCTCAAGTTCTCTTCTTATAAAGAACAATCTCTCGGGCTTTCTCTCGGGCTTCTCTCGAGCAAGTATCACGAGCTGGTCTACACGGTTGCGTGGCGGAACCTGATCGACCCGTCCCGTACGGCTTCGGAATCGATAAGGAGGCAGCTGGGACACAGTCTGCTTTCTGCGTTGAAGTATACTTTTAAATATGACCAGAGAGACTCTTACGTGAGGCCAACAAGTGGATACGCTTTCACCTCTTCTTCTCAGATCGGTGGTCTCGCTCCTGATAGCCGAAGCCTACGCTTCTTGAAGCAGGTTCCTTCCACTATTCATTCTTGCTTTCCAACATATTACATGAGAGTTAACTTGTGCTCATTGTGAAAGTAGACCTCTGAGACTTTGTCGTTTGTTTTCTCAGGAAATCGATCTTCGGTATGCTGTACCGTTCGGGTTTTGCAATGCTGCTCTCAACTTTGGTGTGGCTGGGGGAGTCACCTTCCCATGGGGAAGCAGGTACCAGAACCGCCGTTCCTCTGTGCCGGAGAGATTCTTCTTGGGTGGAAACTCATCGCCTGTGTGCTCCTTGGATGGGCCATCCGCTCTATGGGGATTTAAGACCAGAGGACTTGGTCCCAACGAGGCAAAGAGGAAAGGCGACGATGAAAGAGACTTTGTGGGAGGAGATGCTGCGGTGACTGCGTTTGCGGATCTGTCGTTTGATTTTCCGGTGAGATGGTTAAGAGAGAGAGGAATCCACGGGCATGTGTTTGCTTGTGCGGGGAATATGGCGAAGCTATCAGAGAATGAGTTTAGAAACTTCACTGCTCCAAAGTTCTTGGAGACATTCAGAACTTCGGTTGGTGCTGGAATCGTCTTACCAACTAGTCTCTTCCGTATGGAGGTATGGTTCTCATCACTGCTCTCTTTTCTGCATTTTTATATGGAATGAAAAGTGAGATGATTAACACCGACATTTTTCCATCTTTTTTGTTTTGTTTTTGTGATGAAACAGCTTAACTACTGCCATATAATGAAGAAACAAGAACACGATCGAGCGAAATCTGGTTTTTTCGTGACATTCTCGGCCGCGTCCTGAGAAATTTTAGTTGAATATATGATATGGCCTTTCATTTAGTTTTCTTTCTTAAGCCGTGCCGCAATGTCTGGCAGAATCTTTGGTTTCAGGCAGGTGAGATGATTTCATTGTTGAATCTGAAAAAATCTTAGAAAGAGTTTGGTTCTTTTATCATGTTTCCATGGAACCCTCATTTTTGGATTCAAGAGGAATAAAAAAAGGGAAGATGATTTGTTCACCTTGGTTTTTTCTTTTACGAAACGAAGCCAATAGATTGTTGATATTTATTTTTTTTGGGAAATATTCTCAGTTAGATTGGTTAAGATTTCGGTTTAGCTTGGTCGTGGTCTCTCTTACGCTGTCTTGAGCCAACTTGTCTGTTTGTTTCTCTGTAAATAAACAACTATGTTTCCTACAATCAATATTCAAAAGTAGTGGCTCTTTAGATGGAAAATAATTCAAGAGAAGAGAAGCAATGGAACTCAATCAAAATTGTGTTATTTCTTCCCCTCTCTTTTCATCAACTGTGTACGAAATGGTATCCTTAAATAATGAACAAGCTATATTCTTCTATTAAGCTCTCTCCAACGATCAAATGTTCTTGCACCAAATAACTTTGATGATGATGCTTTTAATGGTACAAAAAAACAACGTTATTGCGCCTTCTTCGACAATTTTCAACGTTACTATTACTTTGATGATGATACTTTCAAGGCTGTTAGGATCTTTTAATGTTTGATTTAATAAAAGACAAAATTGAGTTTTGCATTGAGTTTTCTTGTGATATGGTTTTATTCTCTCTCAACCATAATGAATGATGAGTAGAAGAGGAAGAAAAGGAAAAATGGATAGTGAAGGGGTCGGTAGTGGTGGGCTTCTCATTCTCTCTCTTTTCTTGTCAAATGTCTTGTCTTCTCCATTTCCACACTCCAATCTCTCTGCTGCAACCTCTTATTTTTTTGCTTCATTTTGTAATAATACTATAATCTTAAAATAAAATCCAATAAAAAGATACACTGACTTGATTGACTTTTTTTCCATCTAATCCAAGTCTTGCTTTAAATGTCCACAATCTCATAAAGAGAACAAATTAGCTGATTGGTTTACTCTCTCTCTCTCTCTCTGCTACATTATCCTTTGAATTTTCAACGTTACACTCAAAGCTCAATACCAAAATCTCAAAGATAAACCAGAATATGATTATGAGGTTGGATTCGAACCCACGACCAATCATGTAATTAGTAAAAGAAAACCTCAAGCCAACACAAATGATGAATAGGCCCATGCCTTGTCCCATTGTGTTCCCTTCTCTATTACCTACAAAAACACTCTTCTTCACAAAAAAAACTTATAAAGAGTGTCTAATTATATATAAAGGAAGCAACGAGATAAAACTTAGAAAAATTGAGAGCCTAACAATTTACCACCCAAAATCTCCACAGCAAAAAAAGAAAGAAAGAAGAAGTTTGAGATGAGAGGGCATGAACCACGCTCAAGCTCATCTTGTGCAGCCTGCAAGCTCTTGAAGAGACGATGCACACCCACTTGCATTTTCGCTCCTTACTTCCGCTCTAGTGACCCCATAACTTTCGCCAAAGTCCATAAAGTCTTTGGCGCCAGCAACGTCAGTAAGCTCCTCGGTGAGGTTCCTGAAGAACAGAGACAAGAGACCGTCAACTCTTTGGCTTATGAGGCCGAGGTTCGTCTCAAGGACCCTGTTTATGGTTGCATTGGAGCCATTGCTTCTCTGCAGAAGAAGATGCTCGAGCTTCAACACGACATAGCCGTTGCTCGCACTAGACTACTTGCCCATTCCGGGGTCAACAACCACGTGTCCCCTCTGGATGACTCTCCTGAGCTCGCTGCTTTTCTCGATCATGTACCATATAGTGACTTGATGTTGCTTGATGGCTCTACTCTTGATGCCTGCTTGTATGATCTCGGACAGCCTCCTTTTGTATAGGCCTTATCTCTTTTTATCTGATGTATTTGCACTTGCTTATAAGTCAACTTTGCAATCTCTAAAACCGCTAATGTATGAAATCCGTATATGCAATATCATTTGCTTACTTCATCATTTGTATAACAACTCAGATCAACTTCAACAGTAAACCATCTTATGCAAAATGAGAAAACTAAGGTACGTGAACGTGATGATGAGCCACGGAAGGTCAGAGTCCTTACCAGTTTTGGACCAAGCGGGTAGGCCATGACGAGTAAAGTGAGGTTTTATTAGATGCAGAGCTACTTTGTGAGTCAGAGTCTAAGCACATGCTTATGTCAGCCCCCAATTCTACCAAACATGAAACATTGATAGATATGCTTCTGTGATTTTCCTTTTGAGGGCTCCAATAATGCAAAACTCATGTGTCACCTCGTGTCCATCAGGTCACAAGAGTCTTGTCCTGGAGATTCCAGATTGCTGCAAAGTCACGTAAGCAAACAGCCAAATCAAATAGCTTGGTGGGTTTCGATCAGTTCCAAAAGTGAATTATCGAAGATCATGAAATGACTGATGTATATTGTCCTGGACTTGAGACTTGATTAAGCAAAAGATTAATTGCAGATCATAAAGAGAGAGAGTTGAATGATCTTTGGAAATGCAGGCGTTGATACACAAACCATCATACATTAATACTTCACAAAAGTACATTTTTGATATGTCAGATACTACAAGAGTTCTTCTTTCACCAATCTGCATTGCTACCTCAATGTACCCTACAACGCTAGAGAAGAGAAGGAAGAAGAAGAAAACAAAAGCATTGCTCTAACTTGAAACCTAGTGATTAAGAATAATAACAGCTTCTCCAATTTCGATGAGCTTTTAGATCCAACCATTGCTCCTTGCTTCACCACAGTAGCTTCTTCCACAATCTAATCCTACAATTTCTTACCTGTACAACAACAACAAAGCACAACTGAAAATTCAGTAAACTCGTCATCACATGGTGAAAAGATATATGTCCATAAATTCAAAATCAAGAGTAGCTGCCTAAAGTTTCATCAGAAGATTTGGTTCCAAATCAACAAATCGAAAGCAGAGAAGCTAACAGAAGGCCAACTATATGATCAAACACTGAATTTTGGCGGAAGTTTGAATCTTCAGAAGCACATAAAAATGAAAACTTTACCATATTCAGAATTGCTTAAGCAGAGACCAAGAAAGTTTTAATTTTTACCTGAAGCAGCTCTGCGTTTCCCAAGCTTGGATTTCTCAAGCTCCAATTGCATCTCCATAAACATGTTCATTCGTTGTAACTCGAGCTCCTTGGCAACTTCCATCCTCTGCTTCTCCAATTCAATCATCATCTGCTGCTTCGTGCCTTCGATTCTCTCGTAGACTTCTCCTAACTTGAGAATCGCTCTCGCTAGCTCCCTGCAGGACGATCCTTGGCTCGGATCCACGTCTTCCACTCGCCGGTGCTTCCTTACCACAAACCCCCAATCACCCACGTCGTCATCTTCGTCGTCATCGTCGTCGTCGTCGTCGTCAAGAGAGCTTCCGGTCGATTTAGATCCAGTGGGATTCAAATTAGGGTTCATCAACGCCGATTTGACGATCCCTGCGCCGGCAGATTTCTTCACAACAGGACCGATTAGGAAATCGAGCCTATCAAAGAAGCACCAATTCGAAGAGGGTTTGGCCTTCTCCGTCTTGTACTTCTTCTTGAGCGTGTCGATCCGGTTCTTGCACTGGACGTCGGTCTTGGGCCGGCCGTTCCCGTGGCTCGAATTGACGGCGTCGGCGACTTCTTTCCAATCGTTCTGCCGGAGATTTCCGCGGTTGAGATGGACGTAGCGGTCTCCCCAGGCCTCGATCAACGTCGCCGTCGCGTCCTCGCTCCACCAGTCCTCTCGTCCCGCCGGCAGACGGCTCTGCGACTGGGATTTCGACTGAGTCTCCGGCGTCGTCTCCATCAGGAGTGGCTAACGTGCGCGGAGGAGTGGAATGAGGCTTAGGATAAGAATCTGTGGAGGAGGGAGAGAATCGGATTTTTTTGGGGTAAAGGGTAAAGAGAAAAACGGTTAAGGAGGGGATGGATTGATTACCGGCGGTGACGTCAGTATCGGCGATTATCCTCTTCTTGTTACCTCTCTTTTTCTCCGCTAACCGAACTAATCTCGATCGGTCACCCATCGAACCCGGTTTGGTCCTAACTGGGTCCCACTTGTGTAATAAGCTTTGTTTAATGCGTTTCTAAGGCTAATTGGTTTGATTAGCTTCTGACTGTTTTTGCTGTTTATCAACTGGATAATAGTACAAAACTTCTACAATTTGTCTGAAGTATGTAAAATAATACTACAAAAGACGAGGGAATTAAATTATCTATATGTAGATTCTTAAAATCGTCATAAATGGAAAATAATGGTTAAAGAATGTTTTGTGTAATTAGTCATCATTCATGTAGCAGAATCATACATATACGTTACGCTGTAACAATTTGGAATTTTGGAGTATATGGTGGGATGTAATGAAGGAACAAGGTGAGTAGGCTTATTGTTAGGTAAGAGATCATCCCAAATTCCCAAACGTGTTAGGTATTAGACTATATTCTATGTTTCGTGCCGTGTCTTGTCTATATGTCCTTTTGCTGTCTCACCAATTAATAAACCATTCCATGCCTAATCACTTCTTTTCTTGTAACTACGAAAAATCTCGCCGGAATAATCCTGCAGCTAATTTGTAGCTTTGTATTAGTTATTAAACTGTTGGTTGTTGAATATCCAATAGCAGAGATCTACAGATTGAAGCATTCATTTTCCAAAATAAGTTAAGTCATCATCATTCGGAAAAAACGACAAATGTGAAATAAATCACTATTTACAAGCTTTTATAAAAAAAAAACACACAATTTACAAGCTATCAAAGGGAACGATGAAACGTCTGGAGCAATTAAGTTTACAATTGTTGTACTGGAGTGGTATTTATGAATGTTATCAACTTATAACCTCTTTCAAGAGTTGTTTTTAATCCTATCCGTATAGATTAAACGAAGTTGTGCTTCTCTAGTGATTGTAACCATTAGTAAACATGGCGTTTGCATGTTATATATAACAATTAAAACCTATATATTAAAAGAAATGTTTAGTAAACAAAAGATAATATACACTCTAAAAAGCAAAACTAGGGTTATGATCAAATTTACATGGTTTGGTTCACTTCTACATTACAATTTTGCTAAACCACCGTTTGGCTTCCATGTCGATGAGTTTTGAATCTTTTGATGCAATCATCTACTTAATTCTCTTGAATCTTCAAATATATTTTTGACGACATCATATCACGTACACATTTATCCTACATTCCTACTACACGTTATTGAACGAGTTCAAATATGTGGTCAAGTATAAGTGGAGTAGCCATTTGGTCAAGTAACTCATTAATGAAATACGTTGAAATTCAAGTTCTGTTC